ATAGAGACCCTGTGTGTGAGTGTGATTTAAAAATGGTAAGATACTGTACTCAGGCAAATTTGGCCTAGTGTTGGGCTGTATGTCAGGCACAGTGGCGGCATCAAGGGGGGGCAAGGGGGGGGGCAAATGTCCCCCCAAATTATTTTTTGCCCCCCCCCCCTCAAAAAAAAATATTAGGCTACACAAGCGTTTTGTCATTATCGGAAAATGTATGGCTTATAAGTTGTCATTACTCATTAGTGAATGCGCATATACATGAAACTGTTTTTTACAGTTTCAATATTAGTTTGTAAATCTCTGAATGTTAAAACTTGCCAATACTCCAATAATACGTTTCAAAAAAGACAAAAAAGCTTTAGTTTTGCAGAGTTAAATTCTCAAACGTGTAAGGCACTAATAAGATGAAAGTATCACGAAATTATTTGAATAAACCACATCGCATATATGGGGGGCGAATATCCTAAAGGGGGGCGATATTCCTAGGGTATTCGCCACATCCCCCCTGGGGGGCGATATTCCTAGTATATTCGCCCCGGGGGCGATATTCTTAGGAATAATGCCCCCATTTTGAGGGGGAGGGCGAATCTCCTGGGGGGGGGGGCGACCTTTTTAAAAATTTTATCTTGCCCCCCCCAAATATGAGTTTGCCCCACAAATGCCCCCCAAATTCGGAGGCTTGGCGCCGCCACTGGTCAGGCAAAGCAGTTGAAGCCATCTGAGGTAAAATGGAAAAGTTCAGAAATTTCATAGCAGATTGATTGGTATAACCATGCCCTTTTGTCAGGCAAGAAGAACTCACACTCCCCTAATAAGTGCAGTTGAGTTGCGCCCCTGTGTATGAAAGGCAAAATTTTGAATTTTTTTGGGTTGTATTCACATTTTTGGCAAGTACCTGTACCTTAATATTGTTGGTTCTGGCATGCCTTGATCAGCACCTTTTTTGAGACCTAAACAAGTACAGAATTATACCACATTAGTCTACAATCTAAAACCCTATTACTAGGTATAACCCTTTGATCCTGGGGGCTGTTATCTAAAAGCCGGTTAGCTTATAATAACCCAAGGTAACTTAAAGTTCAAAGCAAACTTCCAAACAGCTTGTTTATAAATAATTCTTCAGAAATCTTGGAAAAATTTCTTCAGAAATCTTGTGTGGATCAATTAATGAGAGTTTTCTTTTCTTAAGTTTTAAAACAAACAGAACCCAGGGTTAGCGCTAATCCAGCTTTGAACAATCAGCCCCAGATTGTTAAGCAAACTTGACAAATTAGTGGCAATATGCACCCAATGCATCTTACTCAGTCTATAAATGCCAGGCAATTTGATATGGCAGAGTCTTGGGCATTACCATTAATAGGTTATTTGTTTCAAAAAAGATCCACACAGCTGCTGGAGAAAACTGCTGCTTACTGGAGAGGGAGGCAGAGGGAATTCTCTTCTAACAATACTTATAGTGCAATAAACTAAGTTGTTCAAAGCAAGGATGGGGTTTTAATTCCCTCTATGGGGGAAGTGTGGATGTTTTCTGGAATGACAATGTGCACGTAGAACCACAAAAGCCCAGTTTATATAAGATTAGTCTGGATGAATTGTTGCAAAAACAAGAACAATTTGCATATTTGAACAATATAACAATTTGCTACCTATACACAAAGTTGTGTATATGCACACATTCAAGGGTGGGTAGTAGCGAAGTAGTTGTAGTTCGCTACTGTAGCAAACTACAATTTTCAAGTAGCCAGTAGTTTTTGACTACTTTTTTAAAACAGTAGCTGTAGTTATAGCGAACTACATTTTACCTAAAAGTAGCCAAGAAGTTGGCTACTTTTCAAACAGTGAATCGCTATTCGCTACTTTTTTAAATTGTTAGTAACTTGATAGAATAGCATGATATTGAGACACAGTCTGCTTAAAATCAATACTCAATAGTCAATTTGCATGCCTGAACACTGCAGTGCTTTCAAAAATGTTGCTTTGTGTTTACTGTTGTTACTCGTAAATCGATTTGTTATAGGTTACATTCCAGCCTGAGTTAATAGATGCTCCAAATACAGTAAAACTAAAAATATAGAGTAGCGAAATAGTTCGCTACATTTTTTAAGCAGTAGCTGTAGTCAGTAGCAAACTACCTTTCTTTAAAAGTAGCAGTAGTTGTAGCTGACTACATATTTTTGAAGTAGCTGTAGTTATAGCAAACTACAAAAAATTTGTAGTCAACCCACCCTTGCACATGCACATTGGATAGCTTGTCTTACATAAGTTGTGTTCAAATTCTAAAAATTAGTTATATGTCACAGGATCGAGAATTTCAATATTGCTTATATTGACTTTCTTCAGATCTCTAGGAAACAATGCATATTTTGTATTAGGAAAAGGGAATAAATTATTAAGCCAAAATTAACCCATTGAGTTGCATTGCACCCTACTTTAGTATTTTACCCTCTCTAACAGCAGACAATTTTACTTGTCAAGGGGAGAGCGCTGGCGCTTAATGGGTTAACTAGACACATGGGCAGATAAGCCAGTTAACCTATTAAGCGCCAGCGCTCTCCCCTTGACAAGTAATATCGTCTGGCGTTACACAGAGTAAAATACTAAAGTAGGGTACATCACGGTGCATCGCCACTCAATGGGTTAAAGATCATAGGGAACAGGGGAGCATGTAAATAGTAATTGACCAGGTAATTGGGGAACAAAGGAAAAATTTCCTTCAGACCTAGATTACTTTTAGAACTTTCAAACAAGGGGGAAGAATTGAAAAAACGTTTGTTGACTGTCATCAAAATTTGAACAAGCACAGATTTATGGGAATATGGCATCCAATCAATAGTTGCAACTCTCATCAATTTACTTTTATGACCAAAACTCTCTCCTTGATGATTAAAAATATCTGGCATTAGACAGAGTAAAATAATAAAGTAGCTAGGGCATGTGAGGAAGATATAGTGATTAACCCAATGCAGAGCACCAGTGCTCTCCCCTTGATGAGTAAAATTGTCTGGTGTTATATCTATTAACTGTGGTTATATAGAGTAAAACAATCTGGTATTATATAAACAGAGTAAAATAATAAAGCACTAGGGTGCATAACCGTGCATTGAGGCACAAAAATTATGCAACTCAAATACTCAATGGGTTATAATTTATAGCTGGAAGCACAAGCTAGAACTTTATGGTTTAGGTGCATGATTACGAAGGATCGAAGATAATAACCCCATATTGCCCATATCACAGACTCTTTCTCGTTTTAACATGCATCGTATACTAGCTAAAATCACATTTATACATTACATGTACATGTGATGTGCGCACATGGCTTTCAAGATGAAGACACATGTATGCTCATTATCCTAACTTTATTTCGTATACCTAAATATATTATGACAGGAATAAATCCATAATAAAATGAGGTTTTTGCTCCCGACAAAACAACTTGAATTCTCTTCTTCGTCTCTTTATTCCAACCAACCATTTTGAGAAACTTCTATGGTCAATAACTATTCACTTCGTCTCTTAATTCCAGAGATAGTGCACCCCCGTGAATAGCTAACAATGTATATATATTTTGATAATGTACATTATTTTGCAGGGGGGAAGGTCACCCTATGTTTTGCAATTGTTTTGCAATATATAATTTGTCACAAAAATTACAAAATTGTCAATAGCGTCAATAGTAGATGATATTTCAGTATCAGACAGTGTTCTTCACGCGGAAGTACAAGATGTCTATTGTACTAAAGATTGTCTCTTCGGTTCTGAATTTATTTCGTGTAAATGGTGAAATAAATTATGTTTCACTGGCACTTGTAGCTGGTCTATTATCCTTAATACTTGTCTGGTTTGCTATAAAGAAACTCACCTCCAAGAAAGGTCGGAACCCGTTTGCGCAAGACACGCGTCGACCTCCCGAACCACTGGAAACAGACTTAAAAGCGAGGGATAAAGTTCTAAAGAATGGATTTGTTGCAAAGAAAGTGCCAGACAATTTAGATGTGATTTTTATTGGTAGTGGAATAGGTAGTCTGAGTTGTGCTGCAATGTTGGCCAAGGCTGGCAAAAAAGTTCTGGTACTTGAGCAACATGATCAGGCTGGGGGATGTTGTCATACGTTTTATGAGAAAGGTATTTTTTCATTTTACTTCAGATACTCAACCTTGTATCCAGGATTCAAATGCCCAACCAAGCTGTACTGTAGTCACTGTGCACAAGGTGTAGGGGCAGCTATTTCCAGGGGCGTAGAAAGCAAAAAAATGGGGGGGCACCGGTTTCGAGGGGCACTTTGAGTGAAAAGGGCACCTGAAAAATTTTTCAACAATAGACGGTCAACTCAAAACATTTTCCAGACATATTGTTATATTCGCCAACAGACAAAAAATTTTCTGGACATATAATTTTTTCTGAAAATACCAACATTTTTCCAGACATACCAAAATACTAAAATAAATGCAATCATAAATCAAAGGCCATTGAGGCAAAAATGCAATCTGAATGACATTTTTTCACAAAGGCAAAGGGTACTTTGACACCAGAAAAAAGGCACTTTTGAAAACTTGGGCTGGGCTTGGCCCCCCGGTTCCTATGCCCCTGGCTATTTCTCCCATTGTCCAAATTGTCTTGGTGTCTAACCATTGAATAATCATTGGTATTAATTAATATATAGTTATGTATGAGTCAATTGTAACCTACACTCACCACACCCGTGGAAAGGTGGGGATTTGTTTTTGCCACTGTCCAAATACACACAAAATCCTAGCCTGCGTGGCAGGCCCTCAAATTTATGGGGGGCCTGATTTGCAGCGGGCAGGATTTTGGCGGGCTCCGGGGGAGGATTAAGGGCCTGCAGGAAAGCCCACCTTTCATGACTACACGCCGTTCAGATTGAATGCGATCACCTGATTGGTCAATACCAAGTCAGTGGAAAACCGTAGTATTTGTTGATTTCAATATTGTTGCTATCTAATCCTCGATCTGTCTTGAACATCGATCGTGGCTATTTTTTCTTATTCAGCAGCGATACAAAAGATGATCTCACTGGCCAGTCATCAGGAAATAGCACAGGATAATTGCAAACAATTAACGTGCATGGATATGTAAAATTGTAAATACTGATTCTGATGATGTACTATATAAAAGTATTAACTAAAGCTGAACATCGACGGTTTGAAAACGTGTGCAGGGCGTTCGTCACTGTGGTCCAGCCACTTTTCGTTTGTAGGGTTTCGAGTCACAATATTCCCATTCGGATGACCTAAAAGCACTTTTAATGATTTAAGCACAGTTAATTTAAGTGACGAACGCCCACGAACGCCCTTCACACGTTTTCAAACCGTCAATGTTGAGCTTACTTCGGTACATCGTCGGAATCAGTATTTACATCCACGTTGCCTGCAGTACTACTGTGCTATTTCTTGATGACTAGCCAGTGAGATCATCTTTTGTATTGCTGCTGAACAAGCACTGTACTTTTACGCATAGATTTCGATTCAGTTCTAGACATACTACCCGGAAAACATCGCGGAGAACAAACGCAATTTGATTCAGTTTGGTTGAATGGACTAGCGCCACGGTCAGCGTGTCAGGAATTAACAGTTTACGCTTTCCTGATGTTTCTACATCTTTGAGCTGGTAATGGTGTTGAAACTTCTCGTGTAGTACAGTTACATATAGGATATTAACAAAAGCCAACTTTCTCACATATTAAATCTGAGAGCACAATTCCGAAAGATTGTTTTCTTTCTGATGGTTTTTTGTGATGAATCATGAACAATTTTACTAAAATTGCCAAATTGCTGTTTAATTTAAAACAACATTTACAAAATCTGCAATATTGTATTAAATTGTATTATAGTATTGAGCGGTATTGAGTTTAATTCGCAATATTGTTTGATTGACATGTTTACGTGCAAGCGAATATTTTTAGAAGCCAATGAATTATGTTATGATCATGCTGGTTATGACTGGGGCGTGTAGTCATGGAAGGCGGGCTTTCCTGCAGGCCCTTAATCCTCCCCCGGAGCCCGCCAAAATCCTGCCCGCTGCAAATCAGGCCCCCCATAAATTTGAGGGCCTGCCACGCAGGCTAACAAAATCCCCATACCTGCTTCGTCAAAATTGCATGCATAATAATATATAAAACTTTAAAATTGATCATGGGCGGATTTACTGGGCGGGTGGGGTTAGGGGTGTGTGTGGTTAAACCCCCCTAGAGGGGTTAAACCCCCTATAATCTCTCTAACCCCTCTTATAAAGTGTTCAACAGAAATTTCACTTCACTCCTCCTATTTTGTCTGAAAGTGTTTAACCCTGACGCCAAGGGCGGATTTTCATATTTTTCTCGGGGTTGCAAAAAATTCAGGGGTGGTGGTGATGATCTGGTGCAGGGGCAAATGTGTGGTACCGATGAGCACGTGATCTTATTTTTTGTAAGATTTTAGTGTGTTTTACTTTTACGTTAATTTAATTGCTGCAAAAAAGCGTATATAGAAATATGTTAATATTAATATTTCTATCTTACTTAACGGTAATTTAATTTAGCGCATTTAAATTTTGGCAGGGACAGGGGGTGCACAATTTCTCTGAGTGGGGGGGGGGGAATTTGGGGGGATGCACACACCCAGAAAATCCGTCCTTACCTAACGCCTAACCCCTGCCGAATCTTGCTCAGTGGTGCCCTTGCACCCCACTAGAAATTTTTCCACCCCTCCTTTTAAAGAAATGAAAATCCGCCCTTGAAATTTATAGGTGGTGGCCGGGGGAAGGTAGTTGCCATGCTTGTCCCTAGTGTCTGCCACTCCCCCATTCATCAGTATGTACAACATTATACCCAGCAGGTCACCATTTACCAAATGAATCCTTGTACCCCCTTTAAACTTAACTAGTGATGTTTTACATTGTAAGGTTTTGAGTTTGACACTGGTATACATTATGTTGGTGAAATGGTTGGCAATACGGTTTCAAAGTTTCTGGTGGACCAGTTAACAGATGGTCAGCTTCAGTGGTCTCCACTTGACCCCATGTATGATGAGGTTGTGATTGGTTCATCACCTGAAGATGCAAAATCATTCCCCATTATGAGCAGCAAAGAAGATTATAAGAATGCTTTGCTTGAGAAATTTCCCAATGAGAAGAAGGCAATTGACAAATACTTTGACATGCTACAGGTGAATATATTTTGCAACAATGTACAAGTGATCGGACTAGGTGTTCCACAATAGGTACATGTGTGGGATACTAAGAAAATACGGGCACAGGATTTGGTATTCAAGTTTTGATTTAGACTATGTAACTATATGTTACCCTATGCCGGAGCGGTTTGAAAACAGTGCTGAAAAGTCATAATTAACCGTCATGTTCACACTACACTGGAGCGAAATTGTTTGAAAAGGACACTTTTTCCATAACGATTTGAGCACGGTTTCTAAACTAAGAGATGACAACGGAGCGCTTTGCAGCTTCATGTGAACACCAGCACCATCTTTATCTTTTTCACTATTTGAGCTTGTTTTGCGAAACCATACCGAAACTCTAACAACTTTGTGTGAACAGATGTAAAAGGTGTCATCATTATTTCGCTACGGTGTGGTGTGAACATAGTCTTAACCCATTAAGATGCATTGCGCCCTAACATGCCCTACTTTACTGTTCAGAGGACTGGACTTAATTTGCTTATCAAGGGGAGAGTGCTAGCACTCAATGGATTAATCAGACTATTTACCCATATGTATATAGTTAACACTGCCATTAAGTTGCATTGCACCCTAATGCACCTGACATTATTTTACTCTGTCTAACACTAGACAATGCTAGTGTTAGTCTCAGTGCTACCAATGCTCAATGGGTTAATAATGTTTGGGTTTTATTGTAGGTATAGCCATGATCCAATAATATAGTTGAGCGATTACATGTTCAAACAACCTGAAAAATACAGTTGAACCCTACTTTGCGACCACCCTATTAATCTATTCTTGGGTTTCACTATGGCATTATGCAGTGAATCTGACGGGGGTCAATCCCAAATGAATTGATGCTTTTGCTGTACTGGAGTGAGGAAATGATACAAAATTCCATGTATTTGCCACCAAACACAAGGCATCACTCTGATAACTGACTCACTCTGATAACTGTGTTTTGTTTTAGAGTTGTCCCCCGTCACTTCTGTGACGTCACATGAAACCCAAGAATTACGGTCACTAATTTTTGTCCCTAAAAAAACAACAATACATTTTATTATAAAGATACCCTAGCTGTTAATATGGCCAAATTTTTTGGCCTGTCCTTGGTAGTATTAACGAGGTTCCACCGTATAACAAGAATGTCAGCATTTGAAGTTGCTAACTTTGGTTTAATTAGTACTTATACTGACAGGGCTGTTCCGAGTGGTATCTGGTTGGGAGGGTGAATTCAAAAATTTGGGCCCCCTTCCTTTCTGGGGCCCCCCTCAAAATATTTTTCCAGAAAGCAAAAATTTTTCCGGGGGTCAACTTTTTTTTCTGAAAACAAAACGTCCCAAAATGTTTTTCCAAACACTACTTTGAGATAAAGGGGGTTAAAAATAGTTTTTCCAACCTTTTTAGACCTCAATTTTTCAAAAAATTCCTTATTATTTAACACGTTCTGCAATTCCAGCGTTCCGGGGGCCCCTCTGGGCAAGTTGGGCCCCCTTTCTTAACTTTTCTTTGGGGGGTGTTACAGCCCCCCCCCCCCCCAGTAGTTCTGGCCCTGCTTACTCAGACGAAGGGCCTTTCATTGAAACATTGAAGTTCTTATACTTTTCAGATAGTTGTAAGTGTATTTATTTATGAAACCTACTGAAAACGATTTATTTTAACAGAACCTTTTGACATCACAAAAATGAATGCCATTTTGTACCGTACATGGCGCTTATATATATATAAGCGCCATAGGACTATATATAGGTGCCATGGTACTGTACTACAAGACGCGTGAAATTAAAACTGCGCGAAAATATCGCATTTGGAGTGCGCGAATTTAAACGAAAAGCGAAAATAAATAAATGCTGGAGTGCTTGAAATTATATATACTCCAGATTCCCTTTTCTTAAAAGGCGTTGTTCGAGCATCCGAACGAAATGGAACACCGTTCCCAGAACGCGTCCTGGGATGCAAAATTGGATTCGTCCGAAACGCAAATCGAATGCATTCAAAACACACACACAGCACTATAGTCTGAACAGTTATGTACTTGTTTCAGTTGTTCGAGACATAAAGTTCTGACGAGTCGCGCGCTTTCATCTTGCAATACGTGACAATTTGGCATGAAAGTTCTGTGAGACAGGAGTGTATGCGATGATTTTTCTGCTATAATATGATTTCCCTTTATACAGAAATGTAGTAGAGCGAATGTTGGACAAGTTCTCTTGAAAATATTGCCAAGAATGCTGTGTCAATTTCTTATATCAACTGGCATCATCTATTGGGTAACAGATTATTTCAAATATTCTCAACGTAGTTTGGCTGACGTTATGGAAGAATTAACGGACAACAAGGATCTACGTGCAATTCTCTCGTATTGTTTCGGGGACTATGGTAGGTATTAAGCCTTGTTTGCACAAAGTATTTTCATTTACCCGAGACTTACTTGCACCTGAGAATTACCTGAGGCTCGACATGGTGGGTTGACCCTAAATACCTGGCTGAAGCGCGAGTCCTAGAAATGAGATCATTATACTGTATGCAATATGCATGCAAAAATGAGTTACCGGTATATAAAAATTTCGCTGAGACCAATATTAGAATCTCGTATGTTAATTCCTTCCCTCATGAAAATTGGTCTTGAGTTTATCAAAACGTGTTGACACTACAAGCCAAGCTGACCTGAGACTGGTCTAGGACTGACGTAAGACCTGAGCTTCAGGCCACCATCAAGTAGGTCCTTGACCAGTCTTAGGTCAGTCCAAGCGCGTTTACACTAGGCCAGTTGTTCAAAGCACGATTAGCGCTAACCCTGGGTTAAAATTTACCCAGCTGTTTTGGTTTGCGTATTCTGCACTTTGCACGATTTGTTCTATAACTTAATTACCGAATAAAACTTTTATTGATGAAGACAAGATTCTGGAAAAAATATTTCTAAGTATACATACATGGTGTTGGAAAATTTGCTTTGACGTTTTGCACTAACGTACCTGGGATTAAGCTAACCAGCTTTCGTACAACAAGCCCCAGGACTAATTGCTTTAAATCGAAAATGCTATTTAACAATTAGTCGCCGAAGGCGAGGTGATTACAAGCCTAATAGTATATTCAATGAGCCGAAGGCGAAGTGAATATATGCTTGTAATCACTGAGGCGACTATTTGTTTTCGTATAATTTCAGTACTGAAAAAGTTTTATCTAGTACTTAAAAAATTCATTAATAATTCACGAGGAAAATACAAAAGAAATGAATGTTTAATCAATGTTTGTAAATCGGATAAAGATTTGTCCTAATTTACATAAACTTCAGCTTTGATTTTCTCGGCTTAGACAATGTTTATTTTTAAGGTGGCTCGATATAGTTATGACGAAAACCCTGCTCAAGAATCGCGAACTCAAAACCGGGTGACCATTTTTACGCGCAGGTCGCGGAAACTGATTAACAAAATGACAGAACTTCCAAAATGACCTGACGTAAGCAGCTGCTCGCGCCATCTCACGTCATTTCGCGTGTTCTATATAGCGTTTTATGTCAATTGCTGACGTCATTAGAATTTTCCATTTTAGAAAAACAATGCGCTATATCTCTTTATTTTGTCTGGTGACCTATGTTCAAATTTTGCATGCTGTATTTCACCGCTAAAAACTTTCATTATACAAAAAATAAAAAAATTCTGTAATGCCAAAAAAATTTTACCGAAGAATATGACATTTTCGCATTTTCCAAAAAAATGGCATTACAGAATTTTTTTTATATTTTGCTAATTGTTAGCTTTTCGTCCAAGTAAAATAATGCAAGAAAAAAAATTGGGGGTCACCATGCTTCTTTTCCAACTATACGAGACGAAAGGCCATTTTGGAGTGTATTTTGTACACGTATGTCGTCATAGCAACGAACTATCTGTTACTAAAACTAATATAATTTGAAAGTAGAGATATCGAAATATTTAAAAAACCCAATATCTGCTGAATATATTCTAAAAATGCATAGTTTGAACATTTCAAAGTGTTGAACACCTGAATTTTTGAAAACTGTATCGAGCCACCTTAAAATTACTTCGCCAGTGAACTCATAAGATGGGTCATTTTTAAGTACTAGATAAAACATTCGCATCCGACCTGTATCTGATATACAAACCTTCGCCTTCGGCTCGAGTTTGTATATCAGATACAGATCGGCTGCTCATGTTTTATCTATAGTACATACAACTCATACACGTGTTTATTTTATGAACATAATTTGCATAAATAATTTACTTCCGTCTGATTTTTAGCCATTTTTTTGGGAAAAGCAATAGTTACAGTTACTGCTCAGAGCGGTCTGAGCGCAGTAACTATTACCTCAGAGTTACTGCTGAGGGAGCCAGTCAGAATGCTCAAAGGCCATTTTTCAATACTGAAAATATACTAAATTACAGTAAGCCCGCTGTCTAATTAAATAGAGCTTTCCCTTTACTGTACATGCCTTGTTTCCAGTTCAACCCCTTACCGTGTCGTACCAAAACGTACCGTATTACAGCTTTGATTCTTGAGCATGCACTTAGACAGAACTACCGGTAATGACTTTGACACAAAAGAAAACGCACAGTTTGTGTAGAGAACAGGTATAAGGTTGTTCTTATCATTTAATACTGCTAACAAACTCCTAGAAAGGGTTTTTCAAATTTTCAAATTCACTTCAGTGTCGGCCGCGGTGTGGATGCAGAAAACTGTCGTAACGGTTGTTAAGCCTCAAAAAGATTAAAAACATTTCAATGGCCCCACAACATTGACATCATTATAGATGTTCGATCGTCTCTGCAACCTTGAGTAGGAAGTGTGCACGTGTATTGTGGGATATCACAGGCTTTTCCATTTTTATTTCTCTTTTAAAGGCACTCCACCTAAAGACGCCTCTTTTGCTTTACATGCAACGCTTGTGCATCATTTTATGAAAGGAGGGTATTATCCCGTCGGAGGTGCCAGTGAGATAGCAATGAGATTTATTCCTGTCATTGAGAAAACCGGAGGCAGTGTTTTGGTTCGAGCTCCAGTTAAGGAAATATTGTTGGATGAAGAAAAAGGAAAAGTCCGAGGTATTTGTAAAATCCTTGCAAAGGGTTTGTCAGCCACGGTGTGGATATTGATGTTGTGGCTCTTATTAGCTTAAAACGTAAACAGAGAATTCCAATGTTTTGAGCCAAAACCCGTCATCAGGAGAATTAATTGTAAATCTCCTACTAACTGTTCTGACGAAGGATCTCGTGATCCTGCTTTTTTGAGGCCTTCAGGTGTGACGTCATATTACGCGACATCAAGAATTATCTGTAGGTTAACAGCCAATCAAAACAGTGATTGTATACTGGTAATGCATAATAATTAGCTAAGTCATATAAATTAAAATCGCCTTGTATGCTAATAAAACAATGTCAAACTACTTAAAGTCATACAACTACTATAAGATAACTGATATAGATATACCTAGCAGGAAAATAAAGCGACACTTGGAAGGACTCATAATCCATGAGCCAAATCTTTATTTTTCAGGCGTTCGTGTGGCTAAAAGTAGTGGTGATGTTGATATCTTTGCACCCCTGGTTGTATCTGGTGCTGGTGTGTATAACACGTTTGAAAAATTACTTCCACATCCAGTCGAAGAAAAAACATCGATGCTGAGTTCTGTCCGACACGGTTGTGGTGGAATATCCGTTTACGTTGGTTTCAATTTATCTAATGATGAACTGGAAGTAGTAAAGGGCAGAAATCGGTGGATCTTTTCGAACAACGAACTTGACCAATCGTTCGAAGAATATCGTAATATGTCTGTAGAAAGCGTTGGGGAACAAGATATCCCATTGTTGTTCCTATCATTTCCTTCAACAAAAGACCCAACATGGGATGACAGATTTCCTGGAAAGTCTACATGCGAAGTTGTCAGCTTGGCTTCTTATGATTGGTTTGCGAAATGGAAAGACGGGAAGGTCATGCACCGTGGTGAAGACTACGAGGAAATCAAACAACGTATTGGGAAGCGAATGTGGGAGCAAGTTTGTCGATTTCATCCTAACCTTAAAGATAAGGTCGAGTATTTCGATGTTGGTAGTCCGCTGTCAAACCAGTACTACATCGCAGCCTCACGTGGCGAGTTATACGGCGCTGACCATAATGTTGACAGGTTCTTCCCCCAAAGTGTTTTCAATTTACGAGCGGATACATCCATAAAAGGACTCTACCTTACTGGTCAGGATATTTTCTGCTGTGGTTTCTCTGGAGGTCTGTATGGGGGTGTAATATCTGCCTGCACTATCCTGCGAAGAAATCTTATCAATGATTTGTTGGCGTTAAGAAAGCAGTGTAAAAAACAACACTGATCGTGACACTATGTGAAATGCCCACTATATATCAATACTCAACAGAAACGGTAGTTGAGCAAAAAAGAAACAAATATAGTATCATTATGCATGACATTGATTTTGGAATTGGACGCAACGATTAAACATTTCATGTGATTTATGGATGTCACGGGCTGATGGAAAATATTTAAATGTTCAATGAAGTAATATATGATTTTATCTATTTGACATTATGGACCTGAATTTGAAATATATGACTGATTTTGAATATTCTGTGCTTGGTCATTTTGGGACGAGAACGGTACCCATTGTCTAGTGCTGTACTTCTCATATACTCAGGAAATTAATAGCAACGTAGTAGCTGGCTATATATTAATCTCTCCACAAAGGGTCTTCCTCAAGTGGTTTTAATCATTTTCATGTAGTTCAAACACAAACCACGACAGTCCAATTATATAAGACAATCTAGTCCTAGTAGTTCTGAGATCATTGTATGTATGAAAGAAAACGATTGTGTGTTTGACTGATTGATTGATTGATTGATTAGAAGGATGGAACACATGCAACTAAAGTATTAAACTATACATAGAATTGATTTCTAAACGCGTCATAAAGACATAAACACTGCCCTTGTTTAAGGAAACCATCATACAGGAGTTTCAGTCTTCCATGGCGTCACATATTGCTGACGGCTCTGAAACCGACAGCTTAGCCTGCGTAGCGACCAGCTCAGATCGAGTTATACATGCAGTAGTATAATTGCGACAATTCAAGACAAAACAAAATTTATATATAGTTTTAATAGATCATTAAATATTTTCATACAGCTACATATATATAGTTCCAGCTAAATATAACTTGAAGATGTGAAGACCAGCTCAACAAGTTACGTAGAAAATAATGTTCGTTTCCATCATCTCCACATCCTAAAAACAGAATTTAAAATCAGGTGAATTTTCTGCAAGTGTTTTCACGCAACTCAAACGTGATTGTTTCGGGCGACCCATGCATGTGTGATCATGGAACACAGTTAAAGTGCCTATGCAAGATTTTTTATGATTGAATTGCAAATTTCATTTAAAATCTTGTAACTTATTTTCTGAAACTTTGTTATCTTTCCTGTATGTCAAGATTTTCGACTTTGTTTGATATGCAAAATGACTTAAATGACGTCACACTGCATAACGATTTTTAGAAAGATAACATTTAGTTATATACTTTAAGAACAACTATCAAAGCTAGCATTTCGTCTGCAAATTTGAGTTAATCAGACAATTTTATCAAGCTAAAAACAATCTTCTGCAAATACACTATGCAGTGTGACGTCATGTAAGTCATATTTGCATGCCAAACAAAGTCCAATATCTTGATATACACGAAAGACATAGTAGTCCAGTCAAATCACTATAAGTACATGGTTCTGATCAAAGTAATCGCAATAGATTTGTTTTCAGTGGTAAAGTTGTTCTGATTAACATAATAAAACCCCCCAAAAATCCCTTCGGCGGAACATGGTGAAAATCGAGTTTTTCTTACTTCTACCAACAGAATACCATTGTGGACAGAATGTTGAAATTTTGAAATCATTTTTAGGCAAATGTAACCTACATTATTGGAAAGCTTAGAAAAAACTAAAATATAGATCATTAAACGGTTACCTTGCTTTGCTTATCCAGCCGAAGTTATACAAGATTTAAAATGCCATAAATTTGTATTTTGTGCAAATTTTGAGCTATTTTTCCAACTTTGGGCTAGAATAACGACAAACTGACCAGTAAATTGAATATAACGGTTTAATTGACCTTTATATAATTTTGTTTAAGCTTTCCAATAATGTAGGTTACATTTGCCTAAAAATGATTTCAAAATTTGAACATTCTGTCCACAATGGTTTTCTATAGGTAGAAGTAAGAAAAATTCGATTTTCACCATGTTCCACCGAAGGGATTTTTTTTTATTTTTAGTATGTTAATCAGGACACCCTCCCTCACATTTTACCACTGAAAAAAATTCTATTGCAAATTCTTTGACCTCTGGTCACAGAAAAAAAGTTACATTATGATTTTAAATGAAATTTGCAATTCAATCATAAAAAAATTCTTGCATAGGCACTTCAAGGTGGAAGTGTGCTATTCTTTGGCGAAGGAAAACCGACCCTCGAGGCGCTATAGAGAACCATATAAACTGAATAAATGTATAAATTTTACATTCGAAATTTTCATCTACAAAATCCTCAAAACCCGTGCGCTCATAATCGCCACAAGTGCCATTAAGGTCATCCTTTTTCTTCTCCAGTGAAGGTGTGAATTACTTCATTAAAAATAGTTAGGAAATTTTATTGGAGGTTGTTCCGCAACAATATTGGCTTATTTAAAGCGTAAACACATCAGTAGGCGTTTGAATTAAGTGAAATAATGAACCACAAAAAATCTACAGTGATAATCGTAAGATTCTTAAGATTATATAGTTAAGATAATATGGAGACGTCGGGACTGTACTGGTTAATTATAAAGGAACTAGCGTCTAGAACACAATGTCATTATGTTACATTATGTACATAATGTACAAAGCCTCGAACAGGTTTTTCTTCAAATCTCCTTGTAAATTGAACGATGTAGTGTGTCAGATATTCCAAACGAAGAGCCTTTGGTCCACTTTAATTTGTATTTGTTTATGCACCCAACCATTGAACGCCAAGAAGCGTGCACCATTTGAAAAGTCAAAAAATATTGTGAAAATTATTTTCGGACACAGAGCGGAAAGATGATAAAACAGCCAGCGTTCACTCCGCCCCTACCTTCGTTCTCATTCCTTTTCGTTCATGTATTTAAGCTCGTATTTATGTAATAAAATGTCCCCGCTGATTTAATATTTCAGGAACTGAAATCGATACCTCGTATGATTGGACTTTGAGATATATGAAAAGGTAGTATATTTCAAGCATTCTTATTGGTTAAATGTGGTCACGTTATCATTAAGCTATTTATCAAAGTGAGGAATTTGTGCGTCAATTTTGTCAGTATTAAAAAGTAGAAAAAGTTTTACATTCAAAAGACAAAAAGATGACTCGAATTTCAAGGAGAACGTCGACGTTTCGAGCGAAGGCCCTTCGTTGGGAAGTTAATAGTTTGTATTTTTCAGGTAGTTGTATCAATCCGAAGCTTTCTTAATATTGGCACTACCTACACTGGCACAAATCAAGGCATTTTTTAATACCATCATGGACTGGTGGGGTATTTGCCCCACACTGGGCCACTTCCCCTGCCCCACCACTGAAGAAAAAAAATAAAAAATGGGTATTGAGTAAATGAGTTTAACACTGAAAAGAAGTTTAAAAAACAACTTGTTGGTGATTATACTTAAACTTATGTTGTGTTTGAATGTTTAGCATGCAATTTATTACAAATTTAAGAAGCTGAGATTTTTTTAAAATGTGTTCTCAGAATGCAGGAAATGCTATTTCAGAGACCCCCTGGCTAACTCGTACCTGTGGGTACTCTGCTCACACCTTCGGCGATTGCATACTATCCTGGGGGGAGGGCAATGAGAGAATGGGCCCTTTGGAAGTTTTGCCCCACCACTGAAGAATCCTTAAAAAATGCACTGGCCGCACAAACCGTTCAAGTAATATTCAATACGTTGAAAGAATATGCAGATTACAATATATTGTATTTTCTGAGAAAGAAACGGGTGTTCATTGACTGTTGTGTTGTAATGGCACCTGCCTACCCAATTACGCGAGAACGATAAGAAATGTACATATAAACTCTCTCTATATTAAGACGCGGTCCAACATAAGATATATAGGGATTAACCGGCACCTGCTTTCCGATGAGCAATATCGATAAAATTGTGCATTCGAAATGATCAGTTTTGATTGAAGTTCCGCTTATATGGCAGAAGTGAAATAAAATAATGGAAACGTGTAATAAAAATAAAAATGTTTGCCGCAACGGTGATAGAATATAGTTATCAACTATATATTGAGGATCTATATATCGAATTATATGGAGTACCTCAAGGCTTTCTTTGCCGCTATATCCTTATAAGAAAGTCAATTAAGAAAGGGTACATACAAAATCAGGGGCGAAACCTCGGTATTATGGCTGGGGAGGGGGGGGGGGGCTTGTTTTGCCCGACCAAAAGGGCGTGGCCGAAAAAAATTTCCGCATTTTTCAATAACTTTCGAAATAATTTACCGTAATTTGTAAAATTTTTCAGTAATATTTTTGGCCGACAAAATTGTATGGATTCTCATGCACAAAGTAGTGGACATGTAACATAGGAGACACGCGGGATATACATTTCCCATATGAAGAAACAATAAGTCTCAGGAGCAAGTATTTTTTCTCTTGTTAGGAGAAATTATTTGTAAGAACGTGAAAAGTAAAAGTGACACATCATTGGCGTAAGCAACGAAAAGGCAATATATATAATTTTTTCCAATCCTAGGGAAAAAAATGGAGTAGAATGCTAAAGGAGATATCCCTTATAATAGAGATTATTAGAGAACAAAATTGAGGAACGACTATGGAGTATGGAAGAATGTCAAACAATCATAGTAATGCATAAATTGTATAACTTAACGATACATTACACATAAAATGATTATGCACGTATACAATCAAATTTTCCATTGTTTTAACTCGTTAAACGATGAAACAAGTCCAGGATCCGTGTATAGCATTGAACATTTGTCCCAGACTGAAGCTACATTACAATATCCTATAAACATTCAAAGATAGGCATACAAATGTATAGAAAAACTCACCAAAATCTCAAGAGTTGTTCTTTTATTTCCCCTCTTGCCGTGAATTGTAATACGGGGGAGGTTGCATGTGGGGTCCTTTGTTGAAGGTGTTTGTATCAGAGAGCTTGCCCATAGTTCTTCTCTTGCCATATCTAAGAGGCTGGCGGACCTCTCTCTCGTACCCGTCATCATAGTCTTGGAAATGATCATCATTGTAGTCGTCGACCTCCCAAGGCTGTTCAACCGCACGGGCGTTCACTTCGAGAAGTATACACGATACTACTCCAAGTAGGAACAATAATTGCAGTGTAGTTGTATTCATTTTGATTCGTTGTTCCCTAAAGGAAAAAAATTCCTATCGGATAGCTACTCTGGTTAGGTAAATGAATCGTCGAACAAATTACATTCACGACCCAACGTTTCGACAATCCAGTCTATATAGTGTCTAAAGTCAATGGGTAACTGATTGTTGACGATGACACTAGACTGTTGGATCGTGAATGTCATTTGTTTGGGAATTACATTCATTTACTTAAACCATGAGAGTAGCAAAACATTTAAGCTACTATACCTGGTTGCTGTGAGCTAGAAATTTTAACAATTTTCTATGTTTCAGTGTTGTCCGTTATACAAGAGTGTTTTAAATTCGAGAGAATTAAAATTCCTTTAAATTCTCATTCCTTAACGGTTTTACATGATCTGTACCACAGATAACGCATAATCCTTCATTCTCGTATTTAGGTAGTTTAAAAAAACCCAGAATGCGGTCTAGTTATTAACATTTAGCTCACCTTTCTGGGTGAAAAAAACCCTTGAAAAAACTGATGGGAAAACGTCAAACTTTTAAGAAATACTTGAGAGTCTTAGACAAAGCGTCTTCTGTGTTATCTTTCTTTCATAAGCCATCTGTATTCGTGTTTAAAAACTCTGAATTGTTTGTAGTTTTATGCGCCCCATGCATGTTGCGTTAATTTCTACCGTTGGATGAAAGAGGGAGTAACGTTACATTTTATTAAATTAGAGTTGAACATAGCCTGCTAGCAGGCTCTATATTCGCTAAGTTGAATAAATCCCACCAATTATCTGTCTGAAAAAGGACTTAAATTTATCGTAAAAGAGCCTAATCCCCATATCTCTAAGCATGGATAAGTTTTGAGCATATAAATTAAAATACCTTATATGCTAACAAGCACACTTAAAAGTGTCTACATAAAATTACGTTACAGTAACAAAATGGTCTAGTTGGAAACTTACCTTAAATGTTAAGCTGCTCCTTCAAACACGGCAAGTCGGCAGTATTGACAATTGAGTAGAAAATTGCTTGCTTTTATATCGTGTGATATAGCAGCTTTCATTTACGTCTCTTCCCAGGTTTTATTGAGTGAAACCGACGCTGAAATTATCCTAATGATAAAGGTCAAGAAATGGACAGCTGATCCACACAACACTTGACTTGAGGTCAGCTGCACGGACCTAACGACCTTGTCCTTATCGCGATTACTATCATAGCAAATCTAATGACTACTAATTATCTTCTCTCTTTTATCTTACCGCATTATTATTCACGAGCATGCGCATAAGCACCGCCCTCTCATATACAACTTTGTGTCAACAGAAAGAGGAATCTTTTATTACAATTTTTTATGTTTCTTTTACTTCCTTTTTGTGTCCTTGATATACAAGGGCTTGTTCATTAAGCCAATGTACATAAAAGTACATTTTCCCTTATAACATTTATTACATTGTTTGTTTGACATAAATTGATATAGGCTTCACTCAATAGTCGGAAAACCTTGATCTATTATATACTTTATATATCTCTATATTGAAAAGAATATTTCCAAAACAGAAAATCTATTCTTGCGTTGCATATACAAAAAAGACTGTGACATATGTTTCAAGTTGGTAATATAGGTTTACAAAGAAACTTTTTCAAATCTTATTAAATTTTTTTCTGCTTGAAAAAACGTACACGTGCAGCTAAATTTATGCTGCAAAACATCGTTTCCTATGTCAATGGGTATATGTTTGCTTGTATATGCCCCTATATACATCATTCTCTAACATTTACGTAAGCTTTGAGCTTAGAAAATATAGTCATTTCGATCCTGTAATATTTTACAAAATGATTTATTGACATAGCGTGTGTCAGTCGCGCATCGACAGACAACGGTTGGCCCTTTTTGGTTTAAGTGAATCATTTACGATATGGTTGTATATGTTTTTAACCCAGGATATCATGTTTTATAAAAGAACCTGGCCATGCAAGTGTTTTGTGTTGCAAGTGATGTTTTCGTATTGCCCAATCAATATAGGCTAAGCTTTATCTACACATCGATCTCAAGGTATTTACAGGAAAAATTAAGTAGGTAATAAAAAAACCGCCGATATATTTGGCGTGGTGTAAATACGTCGTAACAAACCAATATTTCTTATCTCGATTAATAGTACTCTGTATGGCGTGACGGAGACTGACTTGTACTTGAAGATACATTTTTTTACAATATGCAAGCGTTACAATCTAAATGATCAACTTGAATAGGACTCTCCCACGGGCGATTTGAATTGGTGATTCGTCCTTTGTGCGAAACAGTTTAATTTTGAAAGTGATAATTATGTTCATGAATTATTAAGCACAAATTCGATTTGCTCCCAAACTAATATTTATAATTGCTTGCTTGATATTTTCCACTATCGAGTAATTGTTTGTGAAAGGAGGACTTCGGTTTTCGAGTTAGAGAAATCAACCAAGGGACAGCTCATATATTATTGCTGAATGCTGATTCATACACTAAGTTGCATAATGCAGATACACGCGTGCACTATAGTTATCAACTATTGACAGTATTTGTTTTTTTCTGTTATTGCGCTTTGTCATATTTAGTTGCAAAGAGGTCGAGATTATTTGAAACGCAATATTCTAAACTTTCGCTAAATTTTTACTTAAGCATTTCATATATTAAATTAGTGATAAACCCACGCAGAAGTGACGTAGCTACTACATTGTTTCTGACTTGATATTAATAAACTCGATCTATGTATATGATAAAAATTTAACGTAACACAAAAGTTTATAGCGAAAAGCATACTCATCCAAGAAAAATAATGATTTCACTCAACTTAATCTTAAGCTGCCCTTTATTCTTTTCCACATCAACTATTTTCCAGTTTTTTTATATTCGTTCTACTTAAAAATTAAGATCCACACACACAAGTCGTTTTTGTAATTTCAACGAAAAGACACTTGAATTATAAATGCATTCAAGAGCTCGCTAAAGTTAGCGCAGGATTTGCTTTCGCAGACACAGGGGGAGCTGCACGTTTGTCAAGTTAATTTGGTGAGCATGTATGTAAAACGTTTGCCAGCCTTATCCTGAATGAAGATCGCATAAAATATAGTGTGGTTTTTGAGGAAGAATACATGTTTCAACAGTAGATATACAACCTTGAACATATAACAGGTTGAGACTTTTCCTCCATGCATTTTTCAAAAATCGGTTTACGCCTATGCAGGTAGATAACTTTCTTACCGCAGAATGTTGCACTATAGTTATATGTCCGTAGACCCCAAGCCAATGCCGAGTGTCATGGAAAATTCCCAAAACATTAAACATAGCGACATTAAATTGAGGGAGAGGGGATCATCAAGTTTGGCTTCTCAATGTATAATAACTTGGCAATATTTACAAGAGCGACAATCCATTGAGGGGGGAGCAGGCCAACAGCATATAATTTACTATATTATATTACCTCCCCCCGTCCCCCAGGATTTACGCCTTTGCCGTTGTGGACCCGGTATACCAACAAATAGATGTATATAAACATTCATTATATAGTAGAGAGTGAGATACTGAAAAATACACAGTCGGATATTTTCCATGTCTTCAGTAGTGAAGATATCGATCACGTGACTTTTTCCAATTTGCTTTTGAGCGTGAAATTTCAAGATTTTTTGCTTGGGACTATATAATAAACGGAACATTACACGGTGGCTTGAAGATATGACTTTTATCTTCTTGTGTTAAAAACAATATTTTACTCACTCGCTCGTTCGTAAAATATAGTTTTCACCACTCAAAGATAAAAGTCATATCTTCGCGCCGCCGTGTAATATCCTCTATATATACACTGGAAAAAAGAGTGAAATCCATATTATGATTTATGGAATTTTCGATTGTATAACTAAATCCATATTATTTCCATACTATATCTATAGTATGGAAATTACAGTTGGTATGAAAATTGGATTTCCATACTATTTCCAACTAATATACGTGCATATTATTTCCATAGTAAGGATTTTGGAAAAATATTTCTAGTGAACGACATTATATATAGGCCTAGTTGAATCCACCCACTCATATACTTATGATACAGGGCCAGGGGATGGCAGGGGGAGAGTTAGCCCTAGCTGGCATGATATAGGAAACAAGGATGATTATAGCCTGCACGAGGAGTAACAATTGGAGTCGGATCTGACAGCATGTTCTTTTTATTTATTTTCATCATTTTTGTACGAAATAAAAGTTGTTATAATTTATAGCGTCTCCAAAACACAAATATAAATTATTAACTGGTTATTGTCTTGCTATCTTTCAGTGAATATTTTAAGTCATACTTATCTATAAATATCTTTGAGCTTTTTTAGGGGAAAAGCAGTATAGTTTTGTTAAAAAAAGGAAACCCTTGTATATATAGTGAATCAAAAACTAAACATCAACATAGATGCATCCATTATATCCAAAGAATATATTTTTGTTTTTTAATATTATAAGTACAGTTTCGGTTAGCCTCCCTCGTAGGCGTTCGTTGCGGCAGCCCGTAAGAACGTCTGCGAAGGAGGTATAGGTTTTGGTAAACTAGGACGTTGTTTTGACAAAAAATACTGATAAACCGCGACATCTAAATATACATGTACTGTAATTGCATCTTCAATGCTCCGTCACTATATATAATGTAGCTACATACAGTTCCCAAGTCAGTGCTCTATTCAACTTTATAGTCAGGATTAAAATTGATTAATTTCAATTCAGTAAAACACCTGTATGATAAAAAAATAAAAACAAGCTAGACATACTGGCGTGCTTTACAATACATGAGAACTTCTTTACATAATTCATGACCTTAAACAGAGGTGTAAATTGGCTAGCACGCCTCGTTGGAAACTGAAATAATGCGTCTATATACATGGTGGAAATTAAAACTATATCCTTTCAGCGGCGTTCAGTTTTTATAAAAAAAGTGAAAAGAAAGGCAATAACGGCATATGGTTATTCGAACAAAACGAACAGTTTTATTGCCCACGCAAAATGCCCAAGAGGGCGTAACGGTTTTTATCATTTCCCATATACAAAATAGAAGATCAATGCCGTTCAATATAAGCTAAATTTTGTTCACATTTATCATATTGTCCTACTAGGATTTTTATTCTCTTTCGACAAGATAATTAGGCCCCCTAAAGGGTAGGTTATTACGATATTGTGAGTTAAATCAGTTGGATCTGAACTATACATTATATATGAGTGGTTCAAGTAAAAACGAAACGTGATATGCACAGTATACGGACAATGACTTTTTTCACTTATTTCATAACTACATGTTAACTATAAAGGCCCTTTACGCTTGCAATTTTTACTACGATTTCTAGTGCAATGTTCTCCTTCTGATGCATGTGAACGAGTCCCTCATCTGAAAATTCATAACTTATCCACTCGTAAACAAGCTAAGACACATATGTTAAAAAAATCATTTTCCGTATGCTGTGCATAACGTTTCGTTTTCACTTGAACCACTCACATACAGTCATTACTATAATTGTTAGTTTCGCACAAAGCGAAATTATACAGTCATACGCATGGCTTTCTCTTACAGACTACAAATGCTAAAACAAAATAGCCTACGTTATGATTGTTGACTGGTTGTTGTGCTGCAATAGACTTGTTCTTTTAATGTCGTTTGCGTATTTTCGTTCTTACTGCTGAGAGTGTACTGAATAATTAAACTCTGATGTGCTTATTTTGGTTTGCAATCATGTTTTATGAAATAAGTTTTCACAATATAATATACGCTTGTGTTCAAATGCAGATAACAACCTGGGGATCACATGGGATACAAAGTCACCGTAACTGTGCTCAACCCCGTGTCTTGCGCATATAATATAATATAATATAATATAATATAATATAATTGTTCTTTAAAACGCATTATACGTGAGTCTCAATGCTTTTTACAACAAGAATCTAAAAACAGTTAATAAGTAAAAGCTATCCTAAAAAGATATGTTTTCAACTTTGCCTTAAACTCATCGATAGTTGGACTCTGCTTAATATAGTCAGGAAGATTGTTCCAAAGTCTCGGAGCAGCGCAGGAAAAAGACTTCTCGCACTCTAGGCACAGTTAACAAATTTTGACTGCTGGAGCGCAAAGTACGGGCAGGGATATGACGACGAAGTAGATCGGTGATGTATGTAGGGGCAATGCCATTAAGAGCTTTATAGGTCACCAAAAGGAGTTTGAAAGTCACTCGTTGTTGCACAGGAAGCCAGTGGAGATTAGACACATGCATATATAGTTGTGCAACATGTGTATTGGACAAAAATTACTGGATATTTCTTCCGTCCAGCGGTTCCAATGGACAAGTGAAATATCCAATGGACAATTGCTTCTTCAATGGATCCAATGGATCAACTGCTGTTGCTATGGCAACAATGACATTTCAAAATGGCGATATTTTGGATTTTTAGTAATTTTTAAATTATGAAACTCGTATAAACGAAATCGGTGATCACCGAATTTTATTTCATAAAATGATTTCTTTTAGTATAGTCAACTATTTTGACAAAAAAACAAAACAGTATTTACACGCTTCTAGTAATTTATTCATTAGAAATAGCTGAAAGAATACCTCGACACAGTTTGGTGAAACAGCAGCTTCGTTTTGTACAAATATTTGCTCGTCTGTAACCAGAACGAAACGGGAAGCCATTTTGTTTTTGTCCGGAGGTGAATAGTGCGAGGATATCCGGAGCTGAGCAACCAATCAGATTGCGTTAAAAAACTATCCATCTCACGTAAACACAACATACAGTAAAACCCCGCACATAAGAACCTAGAATTCAAGAACCTGTTAGGCTAAAATATTTTATTTAGACCCCCTTTAAATAAGAACCTGTTTGGGCTAGAATTTCAAAACAGATTCTTATATTATCAAATCGAGTCAAAATTAAATTAGTGAAGTTAAAGTGCATATAGGGTTAGTATAGTGCATGTACTGTCATTTTTAGATCATTTGTGCATAATTCATGTAAATCATATTTTCCATACCTCCCTAAGGCTAAAATGAGTCACTTTCCTCTTAAGAAAATAAGAACCTATTTAAGAACCTGTTTAGCCTAATTTCCTGGTACTGAAGCACTATTTACATAAGAACCTGTTAAGGCTAACTTGGAAAATCTAGGTTCTTATATGCGGAGTTTTACTGTAGACTGTAATTTTATTAATTTTTAAAAAGTGCATGGATCATAAAGTAAAACATCCACGGACAAATTTTATTAGTTAAAAATGCATGTATTGTGTATAATTAAATCTATAGTTCTTTAGCACGTTTTAAATAGCCTTTAATATGTTAGTCTCACATCAGAAAGTCTGCATGCTCAATTTAAAAAAACCTTAGTACTTACAATATTATACTTTTACTTTAATCACAAAAGTATATTCAAAATCTGACCTCATGGAAGACAATTTCATCAAATCTAAAATGTCGAAGTCACGCTAAAATTTCAAAACATTCTACTCAATATTCTACTTTATATTCACCCTTACACTATGACTGTTTCGATCACATGTGCTTTAAAACATTAGCATTTTAAATAAACTACATTTTGTTTTAATCTTTAAAAATCCTACCATACTCTCAGTCATCCTTCTCAGTCATCCTTCTCAGTCATCCTTCTCAGTCATCCTTCTCAGTCATCCCATTTGGTTACAAATATTAACTGGCAAATCAATACCGAATTTATCTTCCCATAATTCCTTGATGGCATCAAGAAGAACTTTAAGCGAATTTTCCGACTGCAATACAACAAGCCAGCAGTCATCTTCAATACTTCCTGGCGTATCCTAAAATCATGGAGACATAGTTTATCCAGTAAAATATGTACTATATTATGTACTGTACAGAGTCTACGGAGTCCTTAGTACGGACTATCAACTAGGAAAACCGTTTATTTCGAACCATTTTCTTTCTAAATGGTAAACAACCATTATGCCTGGATTTTAAAATTTTTCTGTTTTCTATTATTTTTGTCGTGTTCGGCTCCCAGGGCTCAATTTTGGTTTTACATGCGCCAAATGGAAGGTCTACTTGCAAAAATCTTCCCTAATCTCTATAGAGGTTAAATCCACGACCCCGGAAAGGAAAGTGGTCGCGACATCAAGAATCGTCTAGAAAGTTCATGAATTCCAACTGGGATGCGTTTTGAGTTTAAACGTCCCCCTCCCCCGTGCTAACAATAAAAATGTTTCAGTTGAATTACCTCATCTCGGAACTCAATTTCAATTTCACAAGGAGACTCAGTGAATAATTTCTAGGAGGATAAACAACACGTGTTAGAAGCAAATGTTCATTGTACGATATTACCGCTTGTTAGTTACGAAGCTTGAGGTTGTTAAGGTCGAAAAATAGAGGGCCTTAGTTCTGAGTATGAATGCAAATTAGTGAGTTCCATACACATCTGGAGCGAAAACTCGAGTCCAAAAAGTGAAGCCAATATGGCGGAAATTGAAGAGTTATTGGACGTCAGTTCCAGTCCCTTTCTATTGTTTTTGTCTGCGCGGTCGGACACGGGGCCAGGATTGTGCCGAATTTTCGTATTTTAGCTTCGATTTAAAGACTAATATTCTGATGTTATGAACTGAAAACTTGATTAGCGTTACGGTCCGTAAAAACTGGACTTAACTGGGGAAATGGTATTGAAACTGTTTACGACCTTCATACAGTGAGCTCTCTCTCTCTCTCTCTATATATATATCTGGAGTAAGAACTTCAGCCATTCGGTCAATGAGAAAAGTGAAACCAAGTGAAGCCAAGATGGCGGCCATTGACGTCCAATAGCTCTGAAGGTCGTAAACAGTTTTTATACCATTTTCCCAAGCTAAATCCAGTTTTTTCTAATGGATCGTATCACTAATCAAGTTTTCAGTTCATAAAATCACAATATTATTCTTGAAATCGAAGTCAAAATACGAAATTTCAACACACTCCTTGCCAAGATGGCGGAAATTGAAGGAGCTGTTGGACGTCAGTTCCAGTCCCTTTCTATTGTTTTTGTGTGCGCGGTTAACACGAAACTGGCTTCACTTTGAGCAACCATAGACAATCGAGCAACCAAGTTCCTACTCCAGATATATATGGAGCTCACTGCCTTCATATAGCTATTGGACATCAATTCCGCCATCTTGACTTCACTTTCTCATAGGCCGAATGACTGAAGTTCTTGCTCCAGATATATAGAGAGCTCATGCACTGATACAAATACGAGTCAAGATGCTTGCACTGCTTATTTGTGATGGCGAGAGCAAAATATAGCGTGACTGGCACATGCTTGAAGCACATGTGTCAGATGTTGGGATCCGCAGTGACCCAGTTACCTGCAAGAGACTTGAACTAACTGCAAACCTGGGGCCGGTTGTTCAAAAACCGATTAGCTTAACCCTAGGTAAACTCAAAATTCAAAGCACAGTTCCTAACAGCTTGTTTTGAAATTTGGAAATATTTTTTCACAAATCATGTCTGGATCAATAGGAGTTTTCTTTTCTGACATTTTGAAATAAATGGACATGTAGAAATATGCAAGCTAAAACAGCGGGTTAAATTTTAACCCTGGGTTAGCGCTAATCCACCTTTGAACAACCGGCCCCTGGGTCAGAAGGTCCTGGACGCAAACGCATAGTAAAATTTCCCAGTATCCTTTTACAAACTGTATTCTCGCTATAGTAAGATTAGAGAGATTTTCTCCCTGAGACCATAGTTAACACGTGTTTTTTTTCATACAAATTCAAGGCCTGAGTGATGTTTCCTATAGTAATCCTATCCTAATTTCTCAACAATTTCCCCCGATCCCCACCCTAGTTGACTCGCAGTGTACCCAGGGCTAACTGCAAATTAGTTTTGGCCACCTACAAAAAAGTAAATATCCAAGTATGGATTGAAGATCTCTCTACTCGTCAGGGCTTGAATTTTATCGCGGTAATTGCCGTTGAGGGAGAACAAAATGCCGTGGATTATTGTGGCAACGACGGCAAATTTTTGCCGTGTAGTGTAATTTTTATACAATTCACTGTGCATTACTATTTTGATACTTGAATTCAGATGTTGATCAAATCATGCGTAAATCCTATTTTAGTCTCAATTTTCTTCGAAAAAAAAACACTTAGAGAAATACGTAAACGTGTTTCTAGCTTGTCAACAATCCAAAGTAACAAACTTAAATTTTTATTAATTTGAAAAAATGCCGTGGAAACTGCCAAAATTGCCGTAGACAGCTTTTACGCTCTACGGCAATTTTTAGCGCCATTGCCGTCGATTGATTTCAGGGAAATTCGAGGCCTGCTACCATAGATATCTTATATATACACTAGATAGCGCATCTCTTTTAGTAAAATTGAAGCCAAGAATATTCCAGCGGTTACCCCCATTTGAATAGATGGCGGCCATGTTGGAGTTTCCCACTCGCTAATAAACGCTTAAAAAACAACAATAACTTTCATAATTTGAATAGTTTAAAAATGTATTTGGAATAGGTGTGACTTAATGTTTAAGTTCCCTGTTTAAAAAATAGAAAACATACGAGTCTTCTCATTTCATGGGAATATCCTGAGCCTGCAATCACGGCTTCAATTTTTGAATTGTAGAATAATGAGATGCACTAGTGTATATAAGATATCTATGCCTGCTACACTCTAAAAACACTCTGGTTAAATTCAACCAGGAACTGGATCAATAAACTACCTAGCACATTCCTGGTTAAATTAACTAATTTCCTCGTTAAAAATGATTGATTCAACAAAAATCTGGCCATACTTCTTTGGACTTTTAACCAGGAAAATGGTTTAATTTTTTTAACCAGGATTGTGTAGGTAGGTTTTTAACCCCATCCTGGTTAAATTAACACAAATTTAACCAGAGTGTTTTTAGAGTGTACTCGTATAATCAAACTCGTAGAAAGGACCTGAAGCCCTCTAATAAGTAAAGGCTCTCACTTTCCCGCATTAAGGCTGAATAGGTTTGCGAATAAGGTGCAATAAAGTTAGAATAGTGATTAGGGTGAGGTGAAATAAATATTCATAGGGTTGTTAAAATTTTTTGGTTAATCTTACCACATCAGTTATATTAATAATCTTTTGTTTCTTTTTCAAGACAAATTGTGGTCCAGATAGAAATTTAGGAGGATCATGCAGTCGAGGTAATGGCCACTGATGATTTTCTTCAGCTAAAGCGATGTGAGTGTTTGTTATAATGATTGATATTGGTGTAGATTTTTCTTCATCTGAAAATAAAAAGGCATGTAGTTTTGTTTGCAGCTTGATATGGCCAGTAAGTGTGTTTCGCTAGTACAAGCGGTAAATTGGCAGGTTTCAATTAGCGATCGGTGCAGCTGATGGTCAACCTCATTTAACAAATGCCTTTCTTTTATTTATTTGCCAAGGCTATCAAAGACAAGATACTACATAGAATGAAAAGCATTTGTATCATTTTCTAACACTGATAACTGCTGATTGTCCACCCCCTGTTGCACGAACCTCAACTATACTAAAACAATTTAAGGAAAAATCGCTCAGCCAGAACCACTGACCTTTCCATTGCGCAAGAATATATTGTTTTATAGTTGTATTAACTTCGGTTGGTTCGGTTGGCTCCATACTGTTATCTTGAGAAACATCGCTGCCTTCATCCTGAGAAAATACATTATATATTACGACATACTCACTGGCATAACTCGTTGAAATTATTTTAATACCTCTTTTATTCAGAAGTGAAAATGCGGCATACTGTACTGCAGAGTAATATACTGAGCTGAAGTGAACAGTATAATATACTCTGCTGTACAATTAAAACTGTACACTACTCTATACAGGGGTGGAAAAAATAATTTTCTTCCTGCGAGCATAGTAAGAAGATTATAAATTTCCTGCAGACTGCAGTGTGTAGATTATGACCATGTCAAATATATATAGCGCTATAAATTGTAGCTACCTGTATAATGCACACGTGATTGGTGATTATGGTTTTAACTAAGGAATGATCATTCTTTGCACTTTTTGCAGTTGGCACATACATATCTAACAACAAGTGGCGCATACAAGTCGGCAACAGTTGTTTTATTTTGTGGGCAGGCTCACAGCAAACGCATGTTATCACTTATCATTTATCCAGAAAAAGTTACAAAATTATTGAAATAAACTAAAAAGAGTAATATTTTTGTGGTGTATATAGAATCTATTTACAAAGTCGAAGTGAACTACTGTAATAACTCACATAATACTGAGTAGGCTAGCTTAAATCATGCAATTGCATCAACAGTTCGACTGCTTAATGCTTGTACGTTTAACCAAATAGAAACGTTACATAGCACAGTGAAGTAGATATTTGCTTAACATGCACCCTATTGTGTAACGAAGGGCAATCTCGATTCTTGTGAGATGATTCTGTTTATAACTTTGCTGTTATAAAGTTTACTCTGCTCTCCTTTTCGTGTTACAAAATGCCAGTTTCCATGCCTGAAATACTTTGACAAGGCTGAAGATAAGATGCGATCAGCACCACCAAGCTCTGGGCCGTTGCAAGCAATCCACAGCTCATTGTTCACAGCTTCCTCGGACATACTTCTTAGTTTACTGTTGTGCGTATTGTAGCGCGAAATAACTGATTCAGCAATAGACTCAACAGTCGTTTTGATTGCTGCAACAACTATTGCTTCAACTACCATCTCACAACCGACATATAGTTCACCGCCACTGGTCAGGAATTTTTTTATTAAATCCTTGCTATCCATCTTTTGCAACTCTGGTATTGCTATTGCTTCTGTTTTTGATGCTAGTCTTCGTACGAAAATCTTGTATTGTCGGACTATCTCTTGGTTATTCACAACGCGGACGTTTCGCGAGATTTTCTTGGCGATTCGAACAAACTTGTCGGCATTAAGAACACCTAATAAAATATGTCCTTTCTCTCGAATCTGCATGGCTAAGGATTTCAGATCAGTCAAAAATCTTGTACTTTCAACCATTTCCAAGGCATCTTCGCTATAAACGTCTTCCCTGAAACCTTTCACAAGTTGGGTTGTCAAGTCAGCGAGTTTCCTTTCCGCGGCCATGACGGGGCTTGTGGTGGCATTATCTGCTTCTTGTTGCCGGGCTCTCCTCGTGTTATGAACATGCTGTTCTTCGTGATCCTCTATAATCTGAGTGCCAACAAACTGGCCGTTAAGAATGCCTGGTTTGTTCTTGTGATAATGTGGCCAGAAGCATTTGTCCTTCCCGCAGTTGTTGTGATCTGAAAGGCACTTGACCATTTGCTTCATTTTTTCCATGTGACCTGTAAACTTGTCAAATCGCTGAAATGGTAGTAGGTTCACTTTTTGAACTTCTGAGACCAAGACCCCATACTGTTCATAGATATCCGCCAATCCAGAAAGAAGCAGACAAAAACACTTGTTCTGGATTTTCACTTGATACTGCTCTGCTTGCTGGGCCTTCTCTCTTTCGCTCGTATCACCGTCATGCATCTCAAATTTCGTATTCTCCAGGCAGGCAATGATGGCTGATAGATCAGCTAAAAAGTTTCCATAGACCTTCCGTACAGAATTAGCAAACCTCGTTTCACAAAAGAACTTTGGATTCTGTATAGCTAATTTCAAACGATCACATGCTTCAACTAACTCCTCGTAGCCTTTCCCCCAGTTGAACAATTTGAAAATAGAGGAAACAGTGTTGGTGGTGTTGGAAAGCCACTGGAACTGCTCAAGTTTTCGAAGACGAGTGTCAACAAGGCCATAGCAATGAAGAACGTCCCAGTCATAGTACGTATCTGAATAGTCAATATAATGTGCGTTGATATATTCTGGAACGCCAAGATGAAAATACTGACCATCAAATCCACCACCTTCAAACCGTCCAGCAACAATATAGTTTTGAAGAACATTTGTTATTGATGCAGCAACGTCCTTCCCAGTGTGTTTCTTTACAATTGGATGGTCAAGATAGATGTACTGTATCAACTCTGCGGCATCAGGTACAATCGTAACCAAAAGAACTACCTGTCTTGTACGATGCTTCTTTGTATCCTTGTCAGCAATAACTTTAACAGGAGGAAGAAAACCAGTCTGTACAAGAGGTGTACATAAGAATTTTTTAACACGTGCCTTCGTCTCATCTGCGATGAATGGCAAAATTGGAGCAGGGAACTTACGTTGATGTTACCCATATCACAGCCATTGTGACTTTCTAAAGTAACAAGCTGTTCGTACTCACTATACGGCTTAGCAGTCTTATAAAGTAAATAGGTTGTACGGGCACATCTCATGCCAACTTTCCTGTCTCTTGATTCAAACTCTTGCTTTCCAGTCTCAACATCTGTAATCTCTTTTTGTTTCTCGAGGTGGGTTGGAGTTTGAAGGTGGTCAAACAAGTGAGTTTTCAAATTCCGAAACTGTCTTGGCATTTTTTCATCGCTCTCAAATGCTTTTTGCGAATCGTTACTACATAAATACGCCGGTTCTTCCGAGAAAATTTACTTCTTTTGGTTCATTGGGTGGATTACATATGGAACATATAACAACTCCTTCGATGTCGTCATACTCAAACTCTGGAAGCTGAATTAAATCAAAAAGCGATCTAAAAGTAAAAATAAAGTTTAAACTTGAGAAAACATTGGAAAGTATATATCTACTGTAAAATAATTCACATAACTGATATAAGTCCGTACGTATACAATTAATGCATGGGCACAGGAAACAACTTCAAGTTAGAGAGTTCTCCATTGACATTGTTTAAACTTTAGCGCGGAACTTCGAATTAGAAACGTTGGGGAGTGGATGTACCTCCAATAGTCCTATGCCCCGGTTCCTATAGCTATGTCACTGCTTATTTGATTTAGGGAAAATCTCACCTTGCTGACTTTCTTTCTGTAACTGTAGGAAGCTCAGACTCCACAGCCACCGTTTCCGGTAAGGGTGTGATGGACAAGCAGGACATGCGATTTTCTGAGTTCTTTACAGTTGTCAGTATTTCGTCAAGCTTAGATGCAACTGCGAAATTGTCCTCTCCGGAGGCGCTGAGCGTTACTTTCGCGGTACTTTCGTCGGCTGTATTTTCAAAACCAGGCGGTGTTGAACCAGATGATATTGACATTGACAAGTCGGCCGTTTTAGCAGTTTTGAACAGAGGCTCTTCGTCTACATCACCATGGCCACGTTTCCGTTTGACATTGTTATCTTTGACTTTATTCCCAAATAGTTCTATAAGCGACTTCTGTCCAAGTACTCTTACTTCTGTAGAGTTATGGGCATTTTTCATGTGGTCTTTTAAATTTTGAAGTAGCATCTCTTTTCGACATATGTGACATCTTTCACGTTTGCTTTTACTCTGAAACAGTTTTTTAGACGGGTTCGTAACATTTTCTATGCGTCTATCTGTGCTTTCCAACCGTAACACCTGTTGTTGATCACTCTCTTCGCAAGCTTGCAACTCATTTGAGTCATTTCCATGACAATCTTCAGTTATTTCACCGTCTGAACTTACTTGGCTTGCTTCACTGTCTTCGATACAATCAGTGATATGACTGATATTCTCCATGTTGTTTTTAGAACTTTTCACGCAAGTCAACGCAAGTTTTTAAAGTTTGTTTACTACATCTAGACAATAATGTCTCATTGTCTAGACTATAGCGCTTGACAGGTTCTATTTTTAGTAGTTCCACAATTAGAACTAGACGTCCAGACCAGTGATTGGGGAAGCCAATTAGAGTCAAAATACAAAAACCTTCCCACTTCCGCTTCTGTAAATTGTTTTATATATTTCTGTAATTTGTTCTATTTTTCTGTAGCGATTACTGCTTTATCGGCAAATATCCCCTTCTTTCCTTTATATACGTCAATTTGTAGCAAAGGATACACCTTTCGTTAGATTCTTTGCATAATCTAAATTTCGCAACCTTTATGCAAAGAATATAACGAAAGGTGTATCCATTGCTACAAATTGACGTATCACGTATATAAACGAAGGAAAGCGAAATTCTACCGGACCCCATCGCGATATTTGCCGATAAAGTGGTAATCGCTACAGAAAAATAGAACAAATTACAGAAATACAAAACAAAGTTACAGAAGTGGAAGTGGGAAGTTTTTTGTATTTTGACTGTAAAACGTAAAAACTCTTCAAGTGCTCCAGACATTAAACATCTTTTGAAAATTGTTGAGGCGAGAGATACATTAACTAAATCCGTAGGCGTAGCTGAAAAATTAAAGCTATCAGCCAAAAATCTGTTAAAGCTATCTGCCAGCAAATTTCTAAAGGCAAATCAAGCTCCTAGTGAGACGCGTGTGATGGGTCTTTCTTCAAAATTTCAAATTAGAAATCTTACACCACGTAGCCCGAGTAAAAATTTCCTGCGACTGGTGAAAACTTTCCTGCGAGCGCCGCTCGCGTGCTCGCCTATTTTTTCCACCCCTGGTTTGATCATCGACCAAGCCAGGCTCGTCTGTAGTGGATGTTGTTGAGGTACTAACTTCGGCCTCACTGGTTTTGGTAACACTTTCTTTTAGTAGTTCTCTTACAGCCTATCCAAACGAGGAGGGCATGTTTGTGAGTTTACTGAGTTGACTATACAGAATGCGTGAATGAATAAAGCGGAGTGAATAAAGAATATTGTACTTACACGGCGATGCTTTCTCGTTGAACTTGGATGAGTCGGATCGACACTGTCTTGGCTTTGGCCATGTTTGTCGTAATTACTGGGTTCAGGAGTCTTATGAATCGAAGGAACAGCACCTTTTCGTAATACTGATCGACTAACGAAATCCGTTCCAGGTATAGTCACAAATGGACTTTCAAAATCTTCGGTTTGAAAGTGCTGTGAACAAAGCCGGGAGTTTGCTGTTGGCGACCATTTTGCACGTTTTTTCCGCACAAATGCAACCCAAAGTCGTCGTCTTTTCTTCTCTAAATCGTTATCTTCGGGAAATTTATGAAGACCGATATTTTGTGAAGGGTCAGGAACATTAGAACAACCACCAGCTACACATCTATTAGGCATATTCTTTTATAAAACTCGAAGAAATTTGTGCGTAAAGCTAGTAGCGGAATAGATGTAAATACAAATTGCAAAATGCGAGTCCCTCGTGCTACGTCACTAGGCCCAATCTCTTCGTAAATCACTTCGCACGGCCAGAAAGCTTAGATATTTAAAAAATGCACTATTTTCACACCGTTTTGACTGAGAAAAAGCATAAAAAAGGGTAAAAATGGATTTATTTCCGAAAAATATCATTACTAGTATGCTCCACTTTCCAATTGTAAAATAAAAAAAATTGGGTGATAGGCACTTTAAATTAAGCTCACTAATAACACTTTTGGAGTTGATTCAACTCCTCGAAATTTACAGTGTGAAGCCCGCTATACAGACAGGGTGTCTAAAAAAACGCTATGGAAATTCAACAGGTTGTGCATCATAAACGTGGCTAAACAATTAAAATTTTACATATGGCGAAAGAGCATGCAGTTATTTAGCATTTCAATGATACTCTTTTTAAATCGTAACGATGAGAAATGGCCACATACTCGTCAAATAAAAATTGCTGGTCGAAATCACATTCTTCCACCGTTGGGAATTGCATGGAAAACGAAACATAGACAATTCCCAAGAGGGAATTAAAATTGAATGTTAAATTATCTAAAATAAGCTCAACTCGTCAATCTTCGTCTTAGTGAGACAATAACTCAATAAGAACATCCATTGAACGTCCATTAAACATGGTTCAATTAACCCCTGAACAGATAAGGCCTGTTTTATATACGTCGAATTTTGGTCGTGTCGAATGCAATTAAGACAATAGATAATGAGATAATAAACCTCATTAAACTTCATTATCTATTGTTTTAATTGCATTCCACGCGACCGAAATTCAACGTCTAAAACAGGTCTAACATTCGTAATCAAAACGTTTTACGAAACAAATAGCTTGCAGCAGGCTCGCGTTGCTTTTGGATTGACTAACTTTGCTTAGTTAATGTATTTTTAATTCCCAACGGCGGAAGAATGTGATTTCGACTGTGAATTTTTATTTGACGAGTATGTGGCCATTTCTCATCGTTATGATTTAAAAAAGGTACAGTATCATAGAAAAGCTAAATAACAGCTCTTTCGTCCTATGTAAAAACTGAATTGTTTAGCTAAGTGTATGATGCACGACAGCCTGTTGAATTTTCATAGAGTTTTTTTTTTAGACACCCTGTATATATATCGCCATATTTCGTGCACGAACATGTTTCTCTTTTATCTTGAGCCCAATCACAAGCATATCCTTAAACCTACTGTGCACGTAACATGCACGAGGAAATTGGGGCAAGAGTACAATAAACAGTACAGTCTCTTGACAGAAAATGACTCCAAAATCCCGTCGAATAAAATTAAGAACCATTAAATTCAACGAATTTAATTCGACGTCTAAAACAGGCTTCAGTGAATTGGAAGGTTTTCAATAGAAGCGGTGGTTTTCCGCCGGCAGACAAGCTAGATCTGAGGTCTATTAATAAAATTATTGGGGTCAGGCACACCCAATAAAATCTCCCCTCCCCCCGGGTTCCGCCGCCCCTCGACATAGGCAATTATATTCAATTATTAATTATATTTTCAATTTTTTGTTCCCGTTAAAAATGCTATAGGAAAGTGCTAAGGATGAAATTAATAATGGTCTCGCCGGTGTACCTCGCCCAAAGCTTGTGATGTCTGTAGAATGTTATCTCCATGCAGTATTTTGAAATGTGTTTCCTGGTTAGGTGCAATTTGAGAAAACTGAGTCACTTTATATATACTTGAGAACTTTTACTTATATAGCCCCAGGCTCCATTGAATTGGAGGAAATATAAAATTGTTGTGGCTATAAAATCGGTCCAGAGTTCCCATAAGTCACCTCGCGACTGTGCTCACCGCAAACAATTTAATATTTTGGGCTCACGAATTTGCCATGTAACCAGGCCTGATTCAAGATGCATGACGACCTTTATAGTTGCTACGAATTAAAGTTAGAGTTTAAGATATTCAAAAAATAAATCTATCCGAAGCCAAACCCTAACCCAAGACCTAACCATGGAAAGTCAGAATTAGTAGAGGAAAAGCTTTAAGAAAACACGAAAGAGAACGAGAAAACTTGCTGGGATTCGAACCCACGACGTATGAACTCGTTGGCGCACGTCATTACCACTACGCCTGTGGCGTACTCGCTGAAAGCACGCACAAAAGTAATTTTTATGCACACATTTATAGTTATTTTTCATCTTGAATCAGACCTGGTTATCAAGCAAATATGCGTGAATTTATAAAAAATATTTATGTCTCGTTATTTTATAGATCGCGAACGTTTTGTGGTGGTTTTATATATCTAAATATTATGAAATGTTAGATACGGTAAGAGATTGTTCAATGAAATTTCTCTATATGTTAGTGACTGTAAATAGTATTTTCTATTGTACGGTTTATACTGTTGAATGTACAAATGTACATTGATATAAATATATCAATGTTCGCTACAATCAGTGTTGTAACAAGTCGAGTCACTGACTCGAGTCGACTTGCCATTTTCTGTGACTCAACTCAACTCAAATCCACTATAGGAAACATGACTCGAGTCAACATGCACAAGTAACTCGACTCTGACTCGACTATATAGGTTATTCCTGCCGTAAAAGACTCGAGACAAGTAGGAACTTCTTCAGAATAAACTTATGAAAAGTATTATAGTCGGGAAGGAAAATGATGCCGGAAACAGCTTTGTACATAATAACTACAGTGAAATACGCAATCTGATTGGTCAATACCCGTGCAGGATCTGACAATGCTGCACGGAAAATTGTTTAAATGCCTTGGCGCAGACTTTTCAAACTGTCTGACAATGAAAACATTTTAACGTGTGAAGTTAACACTATAGTAAACGAGATACAAGTTAACAAAAACAGCGAACGAAGGTTGCACTGACTACAGATTGACGAGTTGGTCAAGGACAAAAACAATTTTAATACGCTGTGAACATTTTTAAAGGTAAACGATAGTTTATTTATTAACATTTTCTATTCACAAAGAAAGTAGTAAATCAAATTTATGAAAAAATACATATCAGTAACATTATTCACAAAACAACAACAACAACAACTCTCACTTCACAATAGTCCATTCAGATCGAGAATCTTCCAAACTTCGGCTCTCTGTTTAGCGGTTGTTCCATCGGATGTCAATGTTAACTTCAGTAAGCAGCAGTGAACTAGAACTGTTATTTTATTATACTATATTTAATTGGTTTACATGTAAAGCATCGCTGTATATTTCGTTGTTGTTTTGATTTTTTCAAGCCGTTAAAGAACATTTGTGGGAGGTACCCACTTATTCTGTCTCTGATTGGTTAGTTCACGATTGTTGTGAGAATTGCAAATTTCATCTATAGTTATTTTATAAAACAATTATAAATAAAACTATGCAATTATTTATAAAACTATTCCGTGCAGGATAGCGTCATTCATGCACTTGAGATGTTGCTCGACCTTCTGAAAGCGTAAAAAACCACTCACATGCGGTTCGTGTTTTTTTTACGCTTTTCGAAAGTATTCTGGTCCCCAGAACCTTTCTGCCGCGACCGGAAGAAAATGAATCTTATTGGAGTAGGGACGAGATTGAATCACTTCATGAATTCTATAGCTTAATTATGCCAAATTAAAACGCTTCAGCTCCAGGTAACTCACTGGAAAAAAATAGCGTATCCGTACTATGGAATTTGCAATTGCATCGCTGAATACACAGTGTATCCGTTCTGTATCCGTAGTATGGAAATTGCAATTAGTATGAAAATTGGATTTCCGTATACCGTTTTCGATGAAGATCCTTACTATTTCCATAGTAAGGATTTTGAAAAAATTCCAGTGACTTTGATGAATTCCCTGGCCCAACTCTCAATTATTCAGTCATTATCTCGACTCGATAGAAGCCAGTGACTCGACTTGAGTGGAACAGTTAGCCTTTCTCGTGCTCAGCTCTTCCGCCGTGTTGGGGTACTGCCTCTGAGCCTCTCCCAAGTCTGAGATATAAACACCATGAATTTCGACTTTTTGTCACTGTAGTTGTGCGTATAAAGGTATATTTACAGTTACAACTTCGAAAAGTCGCTTTTCACATTGCTCTAAGGCGATACTCCAAAAAATGGTGGATGTTGGCCTTCGTGAGAAAGGCTAATTGACTCGACTCGACTTGATCGGACACTGAAATGACCCGACTCGAACTGGCTGGCTACAATGACTATTGACTTACCGTTCCAAATGGTGAACATGAAAACATTTTTTGCACTTTACTTGGCTGAAATTGAACATTGGAATCGATGGATAATCGCAGTGACTATATATATATATATATATATATATATATATATATATATATATATATATATATATATATATATATATATATATATATATATATATATATATATATATATATATATATATATATATATATATGCAAAATCTTACCTGCATTGAGCACTCTTCAGATACGTGTCAGCATCGACAAACAAGATATATATATATATATATAAAGACAAAACTAGAAAAGAGCTACACAACATTTTCGAGCAATTTGACCTGAAAATCACCGCCGAAGTAAAGTTGAACGTTGTTACTTTCGACCTGATCAACGCAAAACACAAACCATACAGGAAACCCAATGACGATCCATTGTACATCAACAGACACTCAAACCATCCACCAAGCATTACAAGATAATTACCTACGGCTATCAACAAACGCATTGCACTTCTCTCATCGGACGAACAAACATTTAAGGAATCTACACCTATTTACCAGAACGCTCTTAGACATAGTAACTTTGATCACGAATTTACGTACACTCAGGATGCACCGCAACGGACACGTAGGAATAGGCAACGCGACATAATTTGGTTCAACCCACCATTTAGTAAGAGTGTTAACACGAACATAGAACGGGAATTATTAAGTTTAATTGACAAACACTTCCCACTACAGCACAAACTATACAGAATTTTTAACAGAAACACTTTAAAAGTAAGCTACAGTTGCATGAACAACGTTAAGTCTATAATCACCAAACACAACGCACATGTAATTAGGAACAGTCAATCACAGAATACGGAAACTGACAACTGTAACTGCGACAACAAAAACACTTGCCCACTACCGAAACAATGTATGACCAACAACATTATTTACAAAGCTACAGTCACAACGAACAACACGAACGACACTAAACACTACATTGGTATGGCAGCGACTACATTTAAGGAACGTTACGCTAACCACACTTCATCTTTTCGTCATAAAAAAGACTCAAACAAAACGGAACTTTCGAAACATATTTGGAAATTAAAAGAAAACAATCAGGATTATACCATCAAATGGTCAATTTTAAAACCCGCTATTTCGTACACAGGGGGATCAAAACGCTGCAATTTATGTTTGGAAGAAAAATTTTGCATTTTGAAAGACATAAACAAAGACAATTTACTCCATAAAAGAAGCGAAATTTTCGGCAAATGTCGTCACAAAAACCGGTTTCGAGCCAACAAGGTCGTTAACAAAACCTAATGACCCAAGCATTCATTGTTTCGCCTAAGCATTGTTTTGCCAACATGCACTCCGCACATTCTTTCGATAGCATAAAAGCAACCTACAATTTCGAAAATGCTCACCACCTGATGATTCTATACGGATGAAACAGACTGTTGTGGTTTTTTGAGGTAAAACGAAAAGGAATTTGTTCCGGTGTCTACATTTCGACAATAGTTCATTTCTAGAGTTCAAGAAGCTGAGTTTAGGGTAATAAATAATTAGAAAATTTCCCCGCAGGCATAAGTTGCATCGTTTTGTTTTGTTTGAGTAGATTGTAGCTTGTAGCTTGTAGCTTGTTTTTTGTTTGTTCAATTAAGTTTGTCTTCTAATCTTATTAGCTCTACTACAGTATTAAGTACTCTACTCTACTCATATATGATTCCAAACTCGATACTTGTCTATATATATATATATATATATATATATATATATATATATATATATATATATATATATATATATATATATATATATATATATATATATATATATATATATATATATATATATATATATATATATATATATATATATCGACACTTGTATTACCCATCTACCCCAATATACCTTTCCAAATGCATTTACGATACTAAAAACAAACGTAATATAGTATGTATACGCGTCTGTTGAGCGTTGGTTTCTTTTTCACGAGACTTCGGAAACTTTTGTATGCCTATCTAAAAAAGAATCAACCGAAGGAACATGCATTTGAAGAGCGCTAAGTATACAGTGATAGCCACTTGCACTTATAACCATCACCGATTTGCCGGATCAAAGATAAGCCAATCTCGTCCCTCTAGCCCGCCTTAATTTTGGCAGCCGAATAATCAATCCATGCATACCTGAATTCAAAGCTGCTCAAGCTGGTCGGTTATTAGAAGCTGTTTATATATGGAAGCCGGGCTGGCCCGTTTAGCGAGACAGCCCGGTAAGTGAATATGTTTTGTGTTTATATACGAAAAATATTTATCCCGATTGTCGGGATGATTTTGTTGTTTTTGAGTGTTTATATGGAGAACTTTTCATCCCGGTGATTGTTCGAGCAAGTAATGTTGAAGTCTCCCACACCAGCTGTGTGAAATTTTTTGGGTTTTTTATGACTAGGTCTATATGTCAGAAAGAGTATGTTATATACGCCTAATGTTTGCTCCCGAGGGAAATAGTTACTTTTGTTTTCCTGCGAGTTTGGGAAACATTGAGATTCGAGGGACAACAAAACAAACTGACAAGGGGAACAGACATTAAGTGTTTTGTGATATAGCGACGAAGAAAAAATAGACATAACATTCGTAAAACAATAATATTTCATGAATAGAACTCTTCAATGTAAGTTGTTTTGACAATAAAAGAACCTGCTAAAAAGTGTTTGAACAGCATTTCTTTTTTTTGCCTATTGAGTATTTTTCTTCTCTGTTTGATACTGTATTCTTTTCGTAAACTAGAAAAACGTCCTTTCTAAATTTTTCACTCCGTTTTGAGGATTTATCTGGTGGGTGCGGGCAACAATTTTTCACATTTAAATTCACGTGACTACAAATCAGCCAATCACGTTTAGTTTGAGCCCTAGCTATATAACAATTTGACTTATACATGTTTCGTTCTGTATATCTGCAGATATTCTTTATCCTTCGCAAGAAAAACAACCAGATTACATTTCTACATGTTTATCACCATACATCCATACTAGTACTGTGGTGGATTGGTATTAAATGGGTTCCTGGAGGCTCGTGTAAGTAAACATAGTTGCTTCATTTCTTGAATTTCGACTGTGCATGGAAGACTGGAAGAATTAGAATATTCATATCAAAGTATTCAACTGTTCAATCATTATTTGAAGATGCAAAAGTTGCTCAAAGAACAATCCGTTTGCGCACGGTTGACTCGCTTTAAATTTAGAAAATGTATTCATATTCTCTTAGGTGTACTTTTCTTTACTTTACCTTACTTTTACTTTACTTTACTTTACTTTACTTTACTTTACTTTACTTTACTTTACTTTACTTTACTTTACTTTACTTTACTTTACTTTACTTTACTTTACACAGTTGGCAACATATGCATGCTAGTACAGAAATTATTTAATCTGCAATTCTGTTGTACCTAGAGGTGAAACACAAATGATGATTGAACAGTTCATGTTATAGTTCACCAGCAACCTGTTGCAAGCACAGAACACGTCATTTGAATGTGTATAGTTGAAACTCCGATTTAGTCTATATGTTGAAGTGACAAAATAAATATCGATTGTATTATTTAATCTACTTCCCCTTGCAAAATAGTTTTTTAACATTTTTAAAATGCGCATTTTTTCATTGTGGGTGCGCTCAGAAAAATATATGCGACGCATTTTTGGCGATTTTGCCACACCCTACACCCTTTGTGACGGTTTTCTATTAACCCCTTTGAAAATTACGTGTTCTCGCCCACTCCACTCCACGAAATAATTCCTTACTCCTTGCAGGCTTGTGTTAGTTGCGCAGACAAAAACAATAGAAAGGGACTGGAACTGGACGTCAATTTCCGCTATCATTGGCTTCGACCTGAGTTCTTACTCCAGTTCTATATGGAGGTCACTGGGTAGAAATTTTGAATTGCTGAACTATCTAAACTGTCAAAAGCAAACTTTCAGATTAAAACTAAATACGTACAATCGTAAAAAAAACAGTTCATTTTTGGCCGTGACAAAATCCCCTGCCAATGACGTCATTTTACTTGCATATCAAACAAACTGAATATTTAAAGTGCTTATGACACGAAATTTCACCCCAAATGTTTATGATTGCATTGTAAAGATCATTTAAAATGACTTAATAATTTCTTTTATAGAATTTTGGTAACTTGCTTTCTTTGCAAGATATTCAACTTTGTTTCATATGCAAATATCACCGGTGTGACATCACATCGCATAATGACATTTTGAAAACGCAATATTTTACCTTGATAAAATATGTTTACAAACAAATACAGAGGGTTAATTACGAGTTATGAAATTAATAGATATACAAGGGCAATTGTTAAGTTTTTTAGATACGTATTCGTCAAGAAAACTATACTTTCTGAAAACTCATTATGTGATGTGATATCACACCGGTGATATTTGCATATGAAACAAAGTTGAATATCTTGAAAAGGGAACAAGTTACAAAAATTCTATAAAAGAAAGTATTAAGTAATTTTAAGTGATCTTTACAAAGCCACCATAAACCTTTGGGGTGAAATTTCGTGTCATAGGCACTTTAACAATTATTCGCCGAAGGCGAAGTGATTATCGGGCAATATTCACCGAGACGAAGTCGACTCGAGGTGAATATTTATCACTTATTTACTGAGACCGAGGGAAACAGTGTGTTTTGTGGACCCGAGACCGTCGATGTTTGCCGAGGCGAAGCCGAGGGAAACATCGACGGTCGAGGGTCCACAAAACACACTGCTTTCCCGAGGTCTCAGTAAATAAGTGTTTTATTATTTAACAATTAGTCGCCGAAGGCGAGGTGATTACAAGCCTTTATTCACTGAGCCGAAGGCGAAGTGAATATAGGCTTGTAATCACCGAGCCTGAGGCGACTAATTGTTTTAGTATAAATTTCCAGGTGTTTACAAACAATAATCCACACAACTTTATAAAAATTCACTTCAAATAAATTTATTTTCACTATAAATAGTTTGTTTACAAAATTTAAATCTCAGACACGGCTCTGTGTCGCGTTGCGACTAACCCAGTTTTTTTCCAAATAAAAGCACGTAAAGTTTAATATTTTACCTTGAAATATTTTTAAACCATATTTTGTAGCTTGTTTGGGTTTTTTCGGAATGCTATCTTCTTTAATTTTGGCAATTTCCTCCTCTGTTACTACGGCAAAACGAGCAGCCATTTTGAAAAAAAAGCTATAGTCACTGACCAGTGACTATCACTTGAATCTTGACCAATCAGAATGCAGAAAAATCAATAGTCACCTGGAAATTTATACTAAATATCAATAGTCAAAGAAACAACAAATTAAAGAACAAATGAACGTAAATACATAAAATATTTTATTGTTAAAACATTAAATTTAACACTACAGTTACTTAAAGGAAAGTTTAAATTACTAGGCATGTCCAAAGGTCGCACCTTCACGTGATGGCGCACGTGATTTTTTTTCGTTATTCGCCGGTCGATAACGTATTGTTTCCCTCTCGCGCTGTTGCGAGGGAAACAGTCTAATTTCGTCACTCTCACGTGATATGCTCTCGACCAATAAAACACTAGAAAATTGCGACTTTGACTATTGGTATATAATAATTAACAATTATTCGCCGAAGGCGAGGTGATTAACGGTGAATAAAAACCGAGACGAAGTCGAGGTTTTTATTCACGATAATCACCGAGCCTGAGGTGAATAATTGTTTTAGTATAATTTCATAGGTGATTATTTGGAAAAAAATAAGAAAATGTCACATTTCTTCGTCATTTAATTGACAAAAAGGCTTCGGCCGCCATTTTGAAAATCGCTTAGGTGATTATCGCGTAATAATCACCTCAACGGCAACCAATCAGCGTGGAGAATTTTCAATAATCACCTATGTAATTATACTAATCCCCGATAGTCACCGAGCCTGAGGCGAATAATTGTTTTAGTATTTTTATACACAAGTCTTTCGTGTTTTTGGGACTGAATTTATTTTAATTTCGCTTATTCCTTTATCAATAACTTCCACAAAACGGCTAGCCGCCATTTTGCAAATTTCGGTTTTGCTATGTTCAACTGTAGGTGAATATAACAGCTTAATACGTCAAATTTGACCAATCAACTTGTAGGATTTGTACATGTTATATTCACTTGTGCAAAAATGTTAATGAACAATTATTCACCGAAGTGGAGATGAATAGTGCAAGGATATCCGGAGATGAGCAACCAATCAAATTGCACGAAAAGCACTATCCACTTCCCGATTATATTTATAACTAGAAGTTACTATCGCAAGTGAAGTGCTGCCTTGCATTCATATCGTTGTGGGTGGGGTTCTTTTCCCAAATAAAGAAAACAAACCAGAATGAATTTGTGTAAAATTAAAATTCTTTTAATTACAGTTATCATTAAAAACATTTACCACTTAACATGTTTAATATGTAGATATATAAAAGATAGCCTAAGATTGGTTACAAGAGAGACACACAAGCTAAGAAATGAATCAGACACAAGAACAAGAAATGTCTGAGTATGAGGCAAGAACTTAAGAATCTGTAAACTATTGCGAGTTACTCACTGACAAGGATGGCGCCAGCCAGTGATATGCATGCAAGCTTTTAAGCCATAAGTAAATAACCCGGGGCTGGGTACACAATTGCAAAATATTTTCTTATTTTGCTTAATATTGTGCTACGCTAGTTCTATTGCAGAACTGGAAATTTCTTATCACTCAGAAAATATGGGAGAATGCTAAATAAGGGACGTAAATAAATGTACCGGTAACACCTCGCTTTAGCTATACGGTATTTATACAGGGATTACAGGTAAGACAAAATAAAGTTTGAAACAATAAAAAAATGCACCACAATTTTTTTATTAATTTAATTTAAACATATTAATACCATAACTAATATTAAACAATATAACATTCATGGAAGCATAATGTTCCAGCCATTACAGTACCCATATCAGAACGCACCACAAATTTTTAAATATATACCCCAACATAACACAACATAACTAATATTAAATATTGTTATATAGTTAGTGTCAATTTTTCTGTTTGCATTAGTCAAAACCATATCACGTGCCGGTCCACAAGAGTCTAGTTCACTGCATGCCAAAGCGAGGGGGCAACCGGTTCAAAATGAAACAATTATTGACCAATCTATAACAGAATGGGTACCGTACAATGTGCATGTGTACAATGTGCATGTGCATCAACCGTGAAGTTCCAAAGTTCATTTTTTTAAACTTTATTAAACATTTACGGCGTTACATTTGTCTAGTTTTGGTTTCAAAGTTCACTCCAATAACTGGTAAATTATTCATACTTTGACACTTATACACTTATATACTCGACCGCCGTTGTTGCCCTCGGCTTTGCCTCGGGCAACAACGGCGGTCTCGGGTCCACAAAACACGCTATCCCTCGATCTCAGTAAATAAGTGATAAATATAACATGAATGGCAGCATAATGTTCCAGCCATATGACAGTATAACTATATACAGTAATTAGTTAATGTATTTAGTATTTAACAGACTATAACTTTTAGTATTTAACACTATAATTCAACTCAGTCACTTTCTCATTTTAACGCAAAATATTCTCAAGTAACATATACGAACAAATATTAACATAATCATAATGACCATTATTATAACCAATTGAAATATTTATCTTGCAAACAACTTGGGTAAATTTTCATTCGTATACAATTATGTGTTCCAATGTGGGCACGATACTGCTCAATTGATATTCCCATAATAACAATATTAATAATAAATGATAATAAACTATCACTGTGATTATTTATACCTTGAAGTACGATGTTCTTATCAAGCTCAAACAGATTTTTTACTCCACTTGTTTATATGCATGGAGAGATGTATCACTTGTATCATTGGCACATAAAAATTTTATAATAAAAATACAGTTGATTCATTCGTTTCAATGGGTAAAATAATTCGACCATTGTTATTTGTGATCAAACGTTCATCTTACCTTGAAAAATATTTCGATAAACAGCCATACATAAAATTTGCAGCAAGCTGGAATCAAAATTTAATACAACAGGCAACAACAAAGTTGACAAACAGACACGCGAATTAAACGTGTTTACAAATTGTAATGGTTCATGGTGGTGTTCAACAACATCTGAAGTAAATATACACTGGAGAACTCCATGTCTTGATGTAATTTTTGAATACAAACAGAAAGAAAATCGTAAATTAATAGGAAAATCCTTCGGCTGGCCTTTGCAGTTTGCATCGCGTTTATACATAAATTGTCGATTCACCCCTCATTTTAAAAACATCCTTGAGCCCCCCCCCCCCCTAAATCTTACCAGACAGACAAACCGAAAGAAAGACACCCAAATATCGAGATTTCACAAACATATATATCGCGCGAAAGACTAGGTCGAGTGAACTCTGGCAAAACAAAAGGGCGTCAAGAATAGGGAGCTGCCTACGGCAGCAATTATTCGCCGGTGAGGTGAGGCGAGGTGATTATCGGGGATTAGTATAAATTCCAGGTGACTATTGATTTTTCTGCATTCTGATTGGTCAAGATTCACTGTCTCTGAAGTGATAGTCACTGGTCAGTGACTATAGCTTTTTTTTCAAAATGGCTGCTCGTTTTGCCGTAGTAACAGAAGAGCAAATTGACAAAATTAAAATAGATAGCATTCCGAGGATATTTTAAGGTAAAATATTAAACTTTACGTGCTTTTATTTGGAAAAAAAACTGACTTAGTCGCAACGCAACACAGAGCCGTGTCTGAGATTTAAATTTTGTAAACAAACTATTTATAGTGAAAATAAATTTATTTGAAGTGAATTTTTATAAAGTTGTGTGGATTATTGTTTGTAAACACCTGGAAATTTATACTAAAACAATTAGTCGCCTCAGGCTCGGTGATTACAAGCCTATATTCAATTCGCCTTCGGCTTAGTGAATATAGGCTTGTATTCACCGAGGTCGGGAATCTTCGAGTTAAGCCCTTCGAGTTAAGCCCCTCGAGTTAAGCCCTTTTCGAGTTAAGCCCCGGTCACGCCCTGTTTTGCCATGACCACGCCCCTTTTCCAAAAGGGCTTAACTCGAAGAACGAAACACGATTTGGGTCATTCGAGTTAAGCCCGGGGGCTTAACTCGAAGTTTGACAAAAAAGTTGTTGCTCGAGTTAAGCCCCGACTTTTGAAGTATGTCAACGAGTGCAATTATTAAATTGTCAAATTTTCAATACAAAAAAGCCAAAGGCAAAGCACAGAAATTTTCCCAAAAAGAACTTGTATATCGCTAATGTAATACGATTATCTAAAACAATCACAACTATTATCGTTAACAATATTTTAGGTTTTTCATATTTAAATTAATATTAAATTTAACAACACTCAACAGGTAATTACTTTTAGTGGATCGTTTATCCACAACAAAACAACAAAACAATATTTTAATTATAAAGTAGATAGAATCCTAACTCGTTCCTTTTGTTTGAATGTGCACAATATCGACAAATTAACAGTTTTACTGTAACAAAAAAGGTACAACCTTCTCCCATCACCTTGAACAAAACTAATCTATTAAGAAAATGATCGAAAATGACAGCACGTAATAACTAAAGAAAAAGAGAGGAAAGGGAAGGAATTTCGGTATAGAATGATCTGTCTTTGACAACTTGCGCCCAGAGACTCACGCCTCATACGCACATGTACAGTAATTTTATTAGCCAAAGGAATGGTTATGAATCACGAATGGGTTTCATTTGTGTAAACAAATTATCACGGGGAGAAATTGTTACATTTGAGTAATATACCCAAATGTAACAATTTATCCCCGTAATAATGGCGCTACGTCACCATTTCGTTTATAAAATTACTAATGGCTCAGCAAATATTCCCTTTTTAATAATACAAGTCAACGTAGCGCCATTATCACGGGGAGAAATTGTTACATTTGAGTAAAATACCCAAATGTAACAATTTATCCCCGTGATAATTTGTTTACCCAAATGAAACCATTCGTGATTCGTAACCATTTGGCTAATAAAATGACTGTACATGTGCGTATGAGGCGCGAGTCTCTGGGCGCAAGTTGTCAAAGACAGATCATTCTATACCGAAATTCCTTCCCTTTCCTCCCTTTTTCTTTAGTTTTTACATGCTGTCATTTTCGATCATTTTCTTAATAGATTAGTTTTGTTCAAGGTGATGGGAGAAGGTTGCACCTTTTCTGTTACAGTAAAACTGTTAATTTGTCGATATTGTGCACATTGAAGCAAAAGGAACGAGTTATGATTCTATCTATTTTATAATTAAAACATTGTTTTGTTGTTTTGTTGTGGATAAACGATTCACTAAAAGTAATTACCTGTTGTTAAATTTAATATTAATTTAATATGAAAAACCTAAAATATACCTAAAATACGATAATAGTTGTGTTTGTTTTTGATAATCGTATTGCATTAGCGATATATAAGTTCTTTTTGGGAAAATTTCTGTGCTTTGGCTTTTTTGTATTGAAAATTTGACAATTTAATATTGCACTCGTTGACATACTTCAAAAGTAGGGGCTTAACTCGAGCAACAACTTTTTTGTCAAACTTCGAGTTAAGCCCCGGGGCTTAACTCGAATAACCCAAATCGTGTTTCGTTCTTCGAGTTAAGCCCTTTTTGAGAAAGGGCGTGGTCTTGGCAAAACAGGGCGTGGTCGGGGCTTAACTCGAAAAGGGCTTAACTCGAGGGGCTTAACTCGAAGGGCTTAACTCGAAGATTCCCGACCTCTAATCACCTCGCCTTCGGCGACTAATTGTTAAATATTCGCCGAGACGAAGTCGAGGTGAATATTCCTCGATAATCACCGAGCCTGAGGCGAATAATTGTTTTAGTATTTTTACACAAGCTAGCTTTTGTGTTTTTTGAGACTGAATTTATTTTAATTTCGCTTATTTCTTTATCAGTAAACTTCCACAAAACGGGTAGCCGCCATTATCAAAATTTCTGTTTTGTTATATTCACCTGTAGGTGAATATAACAGCTTCTTACGTCAAATTTGACCAATCAACGTGTAGGATTTGTTATGTTCACTTGTGCAAAAATACTATTTGCCAATATTAACTTTTGCCATAGATACTCGAGAGATGGATAGTGCTTTTCCGCAATTTGATTGGTTGCTCCGCTCCAGATATTCTTGGACTATTCACCTCAAGATCAAAACAAAATGTCTTCCCGTTTTGTTCCGATGACAGACGACACTTTTCGCCAATCCCATTTAAGGCCACTGGTCATTTTTGTTGTGGCTTATGCTAAAACAATTATTAACCTTTCGGTGTTGGTTAACAGTGCATCGACGTTTGTCACGCTTCGCTTCTCGGTGAATATACTTGCACTATTCTCCTCCACTTCGATCTCATCAACTCTCCTCAAAATTTGAATCAGCTCAGAGTTGATGAGAGTTGGCGGTCAAACGCGAGCTACAGTTCCAAGTCTCATCCTTGTTTGACCAGGACTTAACATAATGGGAGATTTAAATTGTCTCGTAATCCTTTTATTTTTTTCAGCTTTTTATAGTTCTATGGTCAATTCCTTTGTTCATGTTGTGATGTATACATATTATGGTTTGAGTGTATTTCCTTCAATTCGGAGTTATTTGTGGTGGAAACGATACCTCACGCAGCTTCAACTGGTAACAATTTGGTTGCAATTAACCTTAATTTTTACGCATTACTGATGCATTCCTGAAGCATTCTCTGTTTTGATTGGCTGCTGGCCTACAAATAATTCTGTATATCGCGCAGTTATGACGTCACGCATGCAGATAATATTTTGCGACATCTACATATGACGTCGTAGAATAATCGCAACCCCAGCAAAAGCCAGCTTGTTTACCGAAGAAAAAAATAAAGCTGTGGTTGGTTGTAACTGAAAGCGATTTACAAAAACCTTTAGACGAAAAAGAAGCGGAAAACACGAAACAAGCTACAATGAGGTTTCAACTATAGTAACTTGAAGAGAAAAAGATCAACAAACCTCAAGAGAATGAGGCCATTGCTGAAGTCATAAAATTATTTTTCTGACACAATTTTGTTTTTTGTATATGTCGTAATAAAGAAATTATTGAATTCGTTTTTTACTGATCTGCCTGAGCCTACCACATCCATTAATTATTAATTGCATGATACTACAATTAAGGAATTGGTATACTATCTAGACAGGCAGGGTGTTGCTGTGCATATGCATGCCGTTCACTCATAATTTCCACGAATACTCCAGTTTTGTGTTTCTTCCGATTGTCTTAGGGATTACAGTTTAATTTAGATGGTTAATCCACGCTTCTGCCTTTACCAGGGTATAGAGAGTTTAAGCTTCACGTTCATACGTCAAACAACAAACATCGAGCAAAGATTTAAGGCAATAAAGAGTAAATGAACTTGTTATTCTAAAACTGTAATATATAATGATTCTTTTGACACAAGAAATAAAATATGATGCAAAGAAGTTCAACAAAAATTCTGCCAAGAAAATTCGACTCTGCCGTTTGCCGTTGAGCTCAAACCTGAAGCTTAAACCCCCTCGTAATTTTTAAAGTTACTTCAGTGGATAAAGGGGAATTCTATATTAATCTTCACCAACATGAAAACCACAGCAAAACGTTTTTACAATTTACACTTCCAGATTCAGTTTGTATCGTACCTCATGCAAGCAATCCTTGGACTTCGTGAGAACTGTGGCTTTCCACGATGGATGGGTTACGGGATGCTTCTTTATATGGTCTCAATGCTCACTTTATTCGGAAACTTTTACTACAAAACTTACCGCGATGCAAAAAGCAAACAGGAGGGAAAGCATAACAGTCGAAATGACACTGTGGTGAATGGGGTAACTCAGAACGGAAGCCAGAAGAAACTTAACTGAAAAACAGATGATGTATCCATATACTTGATTTTAAAATAGATAGGATATGATTTTAATTAAAATAGATAGGATATGATTTTAAAATAATATGCATGCAAGATCAAACTGATCATATTGATTCATGGTCACGCATCCAACAGTACCCTCGAATCACTACGTGAAAGCGGTTCTATATTGCTACGAATTTGTAACTTAATAGTTAATAGTCAGAAGATGAATTAAATTATATTAAAAATTTACAATCACAATTTGATTCCAAAACACTCAAAATTTGAAAGAAAAAGAGAAAAAGTTTGGGCGTTGGGACTGGAATTTTGGATCAGATCCAATTCTACATGTAAATATGATGTCAGCTCTGCAGCGAATAATCACAATGCCAGCAAACGCCTGTTTACGTGAAAACGAAATAAAGCCATGGCGAGAACTCGCTCTGTAACTGAAAGCGAGTGAGAAAAACTATGAGACGAAAATATCCTTTGAAATGCCAGCGTATGAGTACCGTACATCTGGCGTACCTCTAGCGTATTCAGCGTGTGCCTAGAGTATGCTTATCATATAAAGCATACGTCCAAATACGCACAAAAGTTTTGAGCATGCTTAAAAATAATTTTCTGCCTCGCCGTATTGGACCGTATGCGACCGTGCTTGAAACGTATACAACCTATGCCTAAAGGCCGTTTTCCACTTCAAGCGTAACGTACCTACACGTATCAAAACAAATTTTAAATGTTAAAATTTAGTGAATGTTGATTAGTTAATACTTCCGTACTACGCTAAAAAGTTGATTAGCGACGAACTTTTTATTTTGATACGCGAATCAACCGGAAGTACGTAAATTTGAAAACCCATCTTCAAGCTGCGCATGCTCACCGGTACGTTACGTTACGATACATGCGAAGTGGAAAACGGCCTTAACGTACCCCTAACGTATGTCAGCGTATACCGGCCTATGAGTGATATTTTTCATACGCTGGCATACGCTAGTGCGATACGCAGTAGTGTGACAGGGCCTTAAGGCTTCGGCAGATAACACAACCCATAGAAATAATTAACAGTTATTCTGCGAACTCGAGTCGAATATGAGCTGATAGCCGATGAGGCGCGCAGCGCCGAATCGGCTATCGCTCATATTCGACGAGAGTGAGTGGAATAACTGTTTTATTATATACACAAGGTCTGAATTCACAGACTTTGCTTTTCGAATATTTTCAATATTTTTCTATTTTGTTTATGTTTTTATCTTCGCTCTTTCGGCCGATTATTTTTTCAAAAATATATATTTTTGACCATTTTAAATATTAAAAATTTATTTGCAAACCTGAAAACAATTTGTGCGAGTTTTTTCATTGTGTTTTTAATCCTGTGAAGGCTATAAAAAGCGACAACTTGCCGTTTTCTCGTTTGCAAAACATCGTAAATTCAGTTTGGCCGCCATTTTGTTTTTCTCTACTAGCAGGATATGAGCTAATATCCTGCTAGTAGAGAACCAATCAGATTGCAGAATACCTCATATCCAGACCTTGTGTATATAATAATAAGTATTATTATATACACAAGATCTGGATATGAGATATTCTGCAATCTGATTGGTTCTCTACTAGCAGGATATTAGCTCATATCCTGCTAGTAGAGAAAAACAAAATGGCGGCTCAAACTGAATTTACGATGTTTTGCAAACGAGAAAACGGCAAGTTGTCGCTTTTTATAGCCTTTACAGGATTAAAAACACAATGAAAAAACTCCCACAAATTGTTTTCAGGTTAGCAAATAAATTTTTAAAATTTAAAATGGTTAAAAATATATATTTTTGAAAAAATAATCGGCCGAAAGAGCGAAGATAAAAACATTTAAAACAAAATAGAAAAATATTGAAAATATTCAAAAAGCAAAGTCTGTGAATTCAGACCTTGTGTATATAATAAAACAGTTATTCCACTCACTCTCGTCGAATATGAGCGATAGCCGATTCGGCGCTACGCGCCTCATCGGCTATCAGCTCATATTCGACTCGAGTTCGTAGAATAACTGTTAATTATTTCTATGACACAACCTCGACCTTGATAATTCTCGATATCACGCTCAACCTCGTCCAATATTTATTAAATGTAGAGTGTAGACAAACTCGATTATGGACAGTACTATCTTTAGGCTTGATAACAATTTGAACGGTTACTATCTGTCGTATATAATGTAGCCAAGACCTGGGGCTGGTTCTACGAAGACCGGTAATGCGATACTCCGCATAGTAATTTTTCCTGAAAATTGGCCGTTGATTGGTGTAGTCCGAATTAAATATATAAATTAAAGTTTCTTTTTATTAATTGCTAGGTCCATATCCGTTGTTTCACAGCTTTTCGTGCATTTTTGGAAAGGTTAAAAACCACTTACAACCGGCCCCAGGAGAATGGATTATATACGACAGATCTGAACGGTTCAAGTTCTTATCAAAGCTGGAGATCTATATCTGCATGGTACAATCAATTAGAAATATCCATAAGTTTGTCTACATAATTATTGGATGAGGTTGGGTGTGGACGTTAACTGCCAAACAATAGCAGCGAATTAATGGATGGAACTTGTACTAGCCCCACACCATGTCCAACATATCTGTTTGGTCCGCTCACGGCTCCCTAGACTTACCGCCCCTTTTTGCTACTTTTCGAAGTTGTGACACGAGCATAATAATATACAAGATCTACCAATGCAATGGCTGGTGGTCGAATGATGATCTATATTCTATACAAGGGTTTGACCACTAGTTTAGACCCCTGACTCATTTCAATTCATTGCACGTTCCTATATAGAACACTTTCCATAAAAAACCGAACCAGATGGACCGAAAATGACATGGTTTAATATGTAAGAATGGAAATTTTTCACTTTTTCATTAGTATAGTAATAGAAATTATTAACGTTTCTATCAATATGGTAGAGACAATAACTGCAACATTTAACACCCCTCCCTTAAAACCACCCAATTCATGCAAATACTGTAATCTATAAAGGCGAAGTTCCAAGTCTTTATCAGTTCAAATTTAACACTTTTGAATTAAGTTATACGAATGCATTAAAATTATTTGGATGGAGAATCTATAAAATTATCAATATACAAAAAATATTTAACGATTAATTATACGTTGAGTAAGGCAACAGTGATTCTCTTTGAGTGCTATTGTTGAGAATCACCTAAATAATAATATGGATATATCGTACCAAATTTCGACATTATCCATTTTAATTAAGTTCCAACGCTCAAATATTACTTAATATAAAATAATATGAGACCAACACTATTTTGGCCTATGCTAGAACCCAATATACTCTTCTATTATCTATTTTTGTTGCTATTCGCACTGTACAAACGCAAGGTTCAACCACATTTAGTGTTCACTTGAGTCGGATAAAGAGTCGTCACCGTTTTCCGTCGCAATTACTCTAGTTTTACCACTGAACTTGTAAATGAGGCGAGCATTTGGAACACGTTCCAAGATATCCTCGTAGTAATACCTTAGTGCACGACTCATCTTTTCGTATTAAGTCATGTTTTTTTCTGTTTTTCCTTTGGCCCCATAGTTTTACAACTCCGCTAGAGTTGACAAGTTGGAAGATTCCTTCCCTCTTGCTTATCCATTTAATATAACTTTTATTTTTTTCGCTGTTGTTCAGCGTCTCCTTCAGAAACTCCCATAAATGAATTGATCGATTACCTGAAAAGGTAAATCGGTGAAAAATGAACATGAATTTGATAGAACAGAACTGCTACATAAAAACGACGACGAAAAGAACGACAACAGCAACAACAACAACAACAACAACAACAACAACAACAACAACAACAACAAAGACGAGAAATAAAAGAGATGTCCTATTACCTCGATTCCTTGGTCTTGGGCGGCGTGATCTTTTCAAAGATGGTTTTCGTTTGCTTTGACCAGTCTTTTGTAGTTACAACTCGGTATAATCAACTATAGGGTCAAAAGTATATACTTTCATAGCTATAAATGTATTCTTTCACTCACTGTAAACCCGTTCACACCCGAAACCTGACCCAGGACAGACCAAAAGCAGATAACCTCAAGCTGCTCCCAGTTCCACTGACGTCTCCAGTGTTCTGCGTCACCCTCTTTTTCCGTCTCCAGTTGTTCATATAGGTCATTCTTGGGTGCTTTTTGGGGATTTCATTGAAAGCTTGTTTGGCAATGCTGTATGGTGTTCTATTTGCAATTGCGGTCCATCCCATTCGTCTGATCTATTCTTCCATCTTCACCTGTCTTGTTACTCTCAAAAAACTGTCCTTGTTTGAGATTCAATGGACTCGGGGAATTCGTCGTAGGCATCCATTAGCGAAGGTCTGTATGTTGTTTGAGGTGACGTTGGCTGTTCTTCAGGTCTTAGAGCCACGTAGAAGCACAGACTTGAGGCGGCCAAGCATTTGAGGTAGCCTGAACCACTAGATCTGTCCTAGGTCAACTTCAAGCCAGGTGTGTAGTTTGAACATGTTTTCTAACGAGTGTAGTAAGGATGTGTACTGTATATGCTTACCGTTTTCTGGACATAGCGTCGGAGTTGGTGATAGCTCAACAACGTTTTCAGTGAGTGGTGAAATACGATCTAAATGTCAAATAAATCCCATGAGTAGATGTATAAATAAACATAATGTAAATATTTACGGTTTAAAGAATTTGAAATCAAGGATTCACTAGTGCAGTATATGTAAGGCGCATATAAAAAGCAATTCAGTTTTCCTATGCCAGATCATGCAACTGATCTTATCAATCTATGGCATATTTGAGGTTCAATTTTTTAAACTGTTCCTCTATTTAGTTTCTTTTGGCGCTCATTTTTGCCAGTGGTTCTGGACTGGGAGCTTATTAGAAAGCGGGTGGGGGAACTTAAAAACAAAATAATCCTATACAACAATCTTAAGGAATAAATGTCTGCATGTACAAATAATATTGCATGTTATATGCATCAATTTTAGCTCACTTTCGACCGCAGTTAATTGATTCGCGTAGCTCCCGTGCTCGAAACGTCTTAGTTCTTCATAAAAATAAATTCATAAATATATGTTGGGCCTATATGATAAAAAAACATTGGTAGTGGCAGACAGTAT